CTAGTATAATACTCTGGAAAGCATTGATTTAAAAAAAAAACAGGAATCATTATGATTAAGTTCAGACTATGCATTCAAGTACACCTTCTGTAAGGTGCTAAGTGCTTAGAAAATTTTCTCAGGATCATGTGGCTAAGAGGCAGAATGAGGACTTGAGTTGGGATCTTCTAAAGCCATTTAACATTGGTTTCTTTCTTTCTTTCTTTCTTTCTTTCTTTCTTTCTTTCTTTCTTTCTTTCTTTCTTTTCCCTAGAGTCATTTAACTTCTGTGCATCTTTCCCATATGTTAATAAGAATTTTTCATTAAAGGACTTGCTGGTTATATATGTGTGTGAAACCCTGAAAGCAAACTTTTTTTTTTTTTTGAGGCCTTCTTGGAAGCTTTTGTGAATCTCCATAAAGACTATTTGATGTGAAATATTTTCCAAACCATTTGACCTCATAATCTGTTATTTATGGAGCCTTCTGCTCCACAGAACATAATTGAAAATAGCTGATTTGCAGCATTCATCCCACCAACACTTGTAAGAATTTTATAGAATACCTACTATATGCCGGGCCTGGCACTAGGTGCTACCAGACCAAAGATATTATCGTCTAAGTATCCAAGACCTTTCTGCCATTCGGGAGCCCTCATCATCTTTCCATGAATTTCAATAATGTTTACATACTCAGCACTGTTGTGTCATTTTCATTTGTGTTTACTGACATCCTTTGCCTTCTTCCTGAGGTCCTTATTGATATGCCCCCATTCTTTTTTTTTTTAAGGTTTGTATCCACATTTTCATTATTTTTTAATTTTTTTTATTATGTTCAGTTAGCCAGCATATAGTATACATCATAAGTTTTTGTTGTAGTAGTCAATGATGCATTAGTTAACCACTTCTATTTGATTGCACGCTGCCTAAAATATGCACCTAGTGCTAGGGGAGCTATTGGAACAGCGGGAGGCTAGTCATTACTATGGACTGAATTGTGTTCCCCCCACCAAATTAATATTTTGAAGCCCTAATCCCCACTGTGACTCTTTCAGGAGAGAGGCTCAGAAAGGAGGTGATTAAGGTTAAATAAGGTCATAAGGTAAAGTCCAAATCCAGCAACAAGACTGTGGTCTTATAAGGAGAGAGAGATATCTCTCTCCCTCTTCCTCCTTCCCTCTCTCTCTTTCTTTCTCTCTCTCTTCCATGGGAGGACACATCAAAACTGTAAGGCAGAAAGAGAGTCCTCCCCAGAACCTGGCCATGCTGGCCTCCTGATCTTGGACTTTCAGCCCCCAAAACAGTGAGGAGATACATGTCTGTTGCCTAAGCCCCCACTCTGTGGTATTTTGTTGTGGGCTGAACAGTCTAAGACAGTCACCCAGCTCAGCAGAGGACATGAGGAAGGACTGAATCAAACTCACTTTATAGACATTGTGGGGAGCAGGACAGGTTTCACAACCAAGTGCATCTCTTGCCTCCTTCTCATCCTAGTTCTGAGGCTTGATGCATCAGCTCACACCATCTCTCACATTAGGGACTTTACATAAGTCCCTTTACAAAACTTTACAAAAGTTACATAAAAACTTTACAAAAAAACTTCACAAAAAGTTTACATAAACCCTTTTGCCATTTTTTAGCTCCTCTTTTGCCATTTTTCTTGCCAGATTCAAGACATACCCCAGTAGTAAGACAGCTTTATAGCCTAAATATCAGGAAAGTCTTCTCTCTCTTTCTCTCTTTTTAACCTAAGCAGTTGAGTCTTCTCTTGCCTTTGTTTACCTTTCACAGTGAAGCAAGACAGAAAAAAAAAAAAAATAAGCCAAAAAGCCCTCCCTAAAATGACAGACAGGAGAGCTGGTTGGCCTTTTCTGCTGCACACAAAAGTTAAATGTCAAGTTCTGTAGACACTTCCTGCCTGAGAAAGTGAGTCTACAGGCTGTTTCCTGGCAAAGCCATAAGCAATTCAAGAGGCAACAGGGTGAACATGGTAGGTGTGAGGTCAGTGTGTGGAGTCGGGAATCTCCCTCCCCTTCCTGTCTACCTTCTCTTTTCCCCATCAAGATTCTCTTCTCTCTCAGAGCAGTGAACCACCTCCTTCACCAAAAGACACACAGACCTGCCACCTGTCCCCAGAGTCTTTACTTTCCTTCCCGGGCTGTCAGTTAGCGAGTACAGAGCAGTAGCAGAGCTAAGGACATGGATGTGATGTCTCATCCCTGGCCCTCACCCCTGCAGGCCCATCTGAGACTAGCTGTTATTCCTAAGAACAAGCCCTCATCTTAGAAGATGTAGGGCGTTCTTCATAGTCCTTTCATAATCAAAATGATAATATTGCTAATAATAGTACACTCTCTGTGTACTAGTCACTGTGCTAAGTGCTTGACAAGCATGGTTTCATCTGAGTCTTAAAAGAGTTCTACAACATGCACATTATTGTCATCATTTCACAAATGAGGAAAGCAGATATTATACAGGGACACTTAACTGTCCACTACCCAATGATGAGCAGTGAGGGCCCTACAGATGGCCTGGGAACTGACTCCCAAAGGTAAGTAAAGCCTTTGCAAGATTCTGAAGAAGAGGTCAAGCCAAATTCTTCACACTCACTTGTATATGCAGACTCCCTCTTATATCCCACAATTGTGTTATTAAGAGTAACTACTATTCGGTTTTCCTAAACTAAAATTAGCTCATTGCTGGAATTTATCATACACTCTAATTCAATATTTTACTGAAAGGTAGGTGGCTCGGCAATGCTATATTGGTTCCACTGTCCTTGAGCATGTGTGGAGTTGGGAGACCCATAATTTTCACAACTCTCCATTATCAGGTGTCATTGCCTTTTTCTTGAATTGGCAATCAATGTCTATTACTGTTTTTTGCTCTTGAATGATACCTTACTGTTATTTTGGCTTTCTATATAATTTGTTGTGGGCTCTCCTCTTAACCCTATAGTGAGTGGTAAGGTACATTGACATATTTTCACTGTTATTTTCCAAGAGCTAGATTAAAGAAAAGCATACAACATATTGGGCTAAACCAAATGAAATGGCCTACATTCAAACATTTTTACTTTAGGCAAAGCCATATGAGATGGACTATATTCAATAATTTTTGACCTAAAAGATGACAGTCTCATATGGTCCAACCTAAAATGAATTATTCAAATTTCAAATTATTCAAATGCGAATATAAATTATTTTTACCTCATTCATTAGACATTTGTGTGTGTGATTCCCTCCAAATATGTGTGTACAGTGACACTTTATAGATGATATTCTATGAATCTGTATTATCTAAACAATTCACAACATAATGTTACTATATGTTAATTGTAAAAACATTGCTAAGTCATTTTAAGTTTGTATGTTTTTTTGTATGATCCAAGATCTTGATTGGAAGTTCATATTCTTTCTTCATGAGTTGTTCATTTATGTCCCTCTTTAGTTCTTTGTCATCACCTGATTCCTTTTTCCCGGTGCAGTGGGAATGGATAGGACCTATAGACTTCAGGGTCTTCTGTGCGATAGTCTGAGAAGCTTGACGTGTACTACTTTAAGGACTAAGGAAGCTTTTTAAGTCCAACTGTCAATAAGGATTCAGATGCAAGTCAGCTTCCCTCACAGATGGAGGATGTGATATACATTTTTGTGAATGGCATCAATTACGCACTTATGGTTCCTGAACAAGAAATCCCAGACTTCCCTGACATCTCTTTAGGGAAATTAGGATGCTGACTTTTATTGAGTGCCCATTGTATGCCAGCCATTCTTCTCATTTAATACCACAACAGACCCTGTGAGGTTGGTACCATTAATCTGTACAGATGGAGAAGTAGGTTCACAGGCTTGAATACTACTCCGTATTATGGACCAGTAGGAAGGTGGTGAGAGCAGAAGGCAAACTTTAAAACTCATTTTTTCACCATACTGCCTTTTCTTTTTCCCATCCCACATCTCCTTCCCCTGCCCCCATATTTGATTCATCATGGAATCCTATTAGTTCTACCTGTAAAATGACACTAGAATCTGTTTTCCAACATTTTCACTACTAATGGTCTAACACTATCTCTACCATGAACACATGTAGCAGCATCCTAATCTTCTCCCTGTCTCAGTCCCTACCTATTCCCTTCATGTGGCCTCTGACTTGCTCCACAATCTTTTACACAGATCTGATCATGACTGACCTCTTCAATGTCCCTGTAATGCTTGCAGGGCATAAAACATGTCATAGTCCAGCTTTCCAACCTACTTTCCTGGCCATTTCTGCCAACATTGCTTATCCCCAGCTTCTACCTCACTGACCCCTCCAGATTGCCCCCCTCATTCTCTCTAACACCCATGACCTTTCCAATCCAATTCCTGGGCCTCCACGCAGTTGCTACTTAGGGAACCTGGACAGATTTATGATAATTTATACATATACACCCACCACTTTTCCACCTGGCATAGTCTTCTTCCTTCAAGGCCCCCTTCAAATGTCACTGCCTGTGGGAGAGTCATCCCAGACTTTCCCTGGCAGTTCATAGCTCCTCCCCTTTATATCCACAGGACTTTGTACACATTTTCAATTAGACAGTTTCTGCTGAATGATAGCAAATTGTCCAAATGTCTTAACTATCTTTCCCACTTGATGATGAACCCCTTAGGGATAAAGATCATGTCGTATTTATCTTTGGATTGCCAGCATTCTGAAAAGTGCCTGTCACAAGGTCAGCACTCAATAAATGTTCATTAATGTACAAATACCCCCCATAGTCTCTCATGCACATAACAGCATACTGAGCAGCTCTCTGGTACAGCAGATTGAGAATTGAACTGGGAGAAAGAATGCTTGAATTCTAGTCTGGGCTCACCCACCAATTGGCTCTATCACTGGGGACAGAAGTGTTTTGGGTCTCAGTACTGTCACTTGTAAAAGGGGGTGGGAGACATCTGAGTGCCCTTCCAAGGCTCACATCTCATGATGCAAAGGACTTAACAGTTTATTCCTAAAAATATCTCTCTCTCTTGCCAGAAGGAAAAGGCCTTACCTGTCTTCTAAGGAGAGTCATGGCACACAACCAAGAGCCTCTAGCCAAGACCCCTGTCATCAAATTCAATGGCCAGGACTTCACCTTCCTGCAGGATCGTTGCCTAAGCAGAGGCCTACCATTTGAGGATGAGACATTCCCTGCAGAGCCTTCTTCCATAGGTCTGCAGCTGCTCCAGGGAAAAGACCTCTCCAGCCTGAGGTGGATGCGGCCAAAGGTGAGTGAGCCCTACGGAACACATTCAGCACCACCGAGCTGCGTCCCATGGTACCTCTCACTGAAAGAAGGATGGGCCTGTGACCTGATTTTCAAGGATGGCCCAAACCAAATGGGAAGGAGAATGAGATTTATCGGGTCCCTCAGCTACAGTATTGTATCCTCAGGGGGACAGAAGGACCCTGTACCAGAAATCAAGACCCCTGCATTCTAACCCATTTCTATCACTGAGCACATCACTGGATTGTTCTATCATTTCTATCACATGAGCACATCACATGCCTCATGTTCTCATCTGTAAAATGGGAAACCATGGGTAGGAAGATTGTAATAGTTGATCTCATCTCCATAATTGAGCCCGTCTGTCTCTATCACTCCTTATTCTCTTCCTTATCAATGTCCTTATTTTTTTTTTTTCCCTGTTGGAACTTAAAGGCAAGATATCACATCCATCACTTGTACAATAGGATAAATTTAAATAATTGCCTCACCTCTCTCATTTAAATTTGTATTTTCAATCTTGCAAAGGCTTGATCACTTATAAAAGAATTCAGATATCAGCTATACAATTAGGGAGATATTTCAGGGCAACATTCAAAACCCCCTCTTCCCCTAGTCCAGCAGATGGCTGCTAACTCAGCTCTGTAGTGAGATGAGCCCTCTGGGTTTTTCTAAACAATATTCATTTCAGGGCATGAATCCCCAAGAAAAATTTCTCAACCCACTTAACATTCTTATAATCTCATCAGGGGCTACTGTTGATGCAAAGGACCCAGGTGAGGACCACTCTGGGGGCCTTAATGCCCAACTCTGCTGTTCTTGCTTCCAAAAGCAGCCAGCAGAATGTAGAACAAGAGAAAATAATATAATGTCCAGTAAGCTAATAATTACAATATCAGCAAGTGCTACAAAGCACTGATTAAATTCCAAGCACTCTACTTTCAGTAAACCCAGGTTAGGTTATACAGAAAGGGCATTTTCTGATGACATACAATAAGACATTGAACTTTGGAGTTGTCAAGTCTTGCCCTAACCTGAGACAGATTTGAGTTTCGGGGAGGGGAGGGTGTGTGGGGATCAGGTAGGGCTCAGCATTAAATGGTGGTACATCAGGCTTCCAGGATCTATCTCACCAGGAGAGGCATGAAGTTCCCAGCAATGATTCTCTTCTTCTGGCCTTCCCCTCCTACAGAGAGCTGAACAGAGAACTCTATTTAAAGTTTGGAAGGGTTATATTTTTTCCCTTTGTTATTTTTAGGAGCTGAGATTCTTTTAGAAAGTGTTTTTTACCCCCCAAGGTGCTGAGTAATAGATGTGAGTTCATATTTATAGTGTTAAAGAATTTATAACATTTCTATGTTGAAATGAAAGGGTTTCAGAGGAAGAGTTGGGAGTTTCTTATTATCTGATTCTAGCAGCATCTCAAATTTCGTATTTTGGGGGCAAGGAGAAATTGAGGCAAACGGAAGTGAGTTGACTTCCTGAGAATCCTGCCAGGGACCTGAAACAGGGGCATACAGAGGCAGCTATGTCTTACTTCCATTCTTCTTCTCAGCTGAAAGCTGAGACAAATGCCTTCCTGTCCCTCATCACAACATTTACATTTCTATTTCCCTGAGTTTTCCATGTGTCTTCTCTTGCTTTTTCTCTTTTGTTCTTTCTCTGTTACATTAAGAAGAACACAGATTTAGACAGGTGATGCAACTTGCATAAGATGGCAGTTAGTGAGGGAAGGACCTGGGATTTAAATTAAGATTCTTCATTCCAGGGGCACCTGGGTGGCTCAGTGGGTTAAAGCCTCTGCCTTCGGCTCAGGTCATGATCCCAGAGTTCTGGTATCGAGCCCCACATTGGGCTCTTTGCTCAGCAGGGAGCCTGCTTCCTCCTCTCTCTCTCTCTGCCTGTCTCTCTGCCTACTTGTGATCTCTGTCTGTCAAATAAATACATAAAATCTTAAAAAAAAAAAAAGTATCTTTCATTCCACATGGTGCACTTTTCTTCACAGGGGATTGTGTGCCCAATAGGACTCTGTTAGGATCTGCATGAATGAATAAGTGTGTGAATGGATGAAGGAATGACTCTATCTACAGGTCCTTGACGTGGGTTTCAAGCTCCATATGTGCAATTGAGAATCCGTAGGTTGACTTGTTTAACAAGTAGGATGGTAGACGAGAAGGCCAGTGAACTCACCCTTTCAAGATGGTGACATCCTCAACTGCCAAAACTTATAGTTGTTCCTGGAAGGAGCCTTGGAAGAAGAGCCATGGCCAGTGTGGCTCAATTCTAGTTGTAAAAGCCAGTACTTACACACTGCTGATTATATGGCAGGCCTGGCTTTAGGGGATTTGACTCATTGAATCCTCACAGTGATGTTATAAGGAGGTACAATTATTAACCCCATTTTATGGATGTGAAATAGAAACAGACTTAAGTGACATGCCCAAAGTGGTATAGCTGGGATTTGAACCCTGAGCTCTGTCTCCAAGACTTATCCTTCTATCACCACACTCTCCTGTTTTCCATCAGGCCTCATCATAAGCTCATGTTGTGTTCTGGGCTCCTGTGTGCCACAAATATTTTGTGCATCAGTAGACTCCTCGCTTGTCTGGTAACCAAGAATCAATGTCCATGTCGTGTCCTACTTTCCATTTTTTAGGTGAAAAAGAATGGGGGTAAAAATGAAATGTTGTATGTGTACCTCACATGATTATTTTAAGGAATGAAGACAATACTCAGAAGAGTGTCTAGCACATTGTAAACACTTACCAAACACTAGCTATTGTTACTACAAATAATTTGGGAAGGATGGCATAGGGAAGCAGCCTCGGGGGCTGTCCTTTTGGATCTCTTGGGTTTTCACACTACAGTCAGCTTCAGCCCTCAAATAGTTTCAACAAACACTTTAAGGGGAGAAATGTAGGTCAGATGAAACCATTTGAGAGCCTAGGGGAGCCTGGCAGGGAGTATGGAGAATGACTTTCTTCTCGTGTTCTGCTAATTCTCACTACTTTCAGAAGGTTGCCTCCCAATCTAGAGTTTGCCCAGTCACTGTCCAGAGGTCTGCCTGGCACTCCTTCAAGTTCAACAATGTAATGACTGAGATGGTACCAAGGCTTCTGAGGCCATCTTCACATCCTCGGCTTTTCCAGACAATGGGGACCTTCCATCCTCTAGGCAATTGTTAAGCCATCATGGATATCATTGAAATTGAGTACTCACTTGGCCTTGGTAGATTCACTAATAGCCCAACAGTCAGGGGCATAAAACTAGACTCAGTTTTTTATGCCTTGTACAAAAAAAGTTGTTTGATGTCCCATAATGTCCTCTTGCTCTCTTTTGCTCTCTGTCTCTGACTCTGTCTTTCCTTCCATCCTTCCCTCCCTCCAAGAGTCAACCTAATCCATTTTGCTGCTGGAATTTTGAAATAGAAGTTCCTTCATATCCTGCTTCATTCAGCTTCTCTTTGTTTAATAAATTTCCAACCCACCCCTCACACTGTCTCCACTGGCAGGTGATCAGGTTCTAGAACAGCCTGTGACCCTGTGCTGAGCCAATGGCACTGATGAGACCCAACTCCTCATCAGCCTCAGCACTGCCTGTAACCCCCCGTGTCAGCAAGAGACAATGCTGAGAATTAGACTTGTACATGGGGTATCTATTTGTTAATTTCCCTGAATGAAAGTTGACATTAGAGTGACTTCCTTTTAGAATTTTAATTTCATAAATAATAACAAATCCCATTTATCAAGTATACACATGCATTAAGTATTAATCTAAGTACCTTACATATGACATTTCATTTAATTACTGTCATAGTACTATAAGGTAGCTAATATTATTATCCTTATTCAATAAATGATCACTGTCCAGTAGAACTTCCATGATGGCGGAATCTTTCGGTGCCATTCAATACAGTAACCACTAGTTATATGTAGCTATTGGCTACTTAGAATGTGGCTAGTGCAACTAAGGGATTGAAGATTAAATTGAATTTAAAGTAGTCACATATGACTTGTGGCTACCATATTGGACAGCACAGAATTATAGATACAGATCTTCACAGCAGAGTCACCATCACATATCAGACTGAGAGGCTGCAGTTTCATTTTTGCCCCCATTCTTTTATGACAAACATTTCACTTCTCAACTGAAGAAGGATCTATGGGCCCAAAACACGTTCTCTGATGGGTGCTTAGAGCTCCAAACCCAACCCCATTGTGGATTCTGGCTCATGGCCACCCCAGAATGAAGTATCGCCTACCCAGGTAACAACTTTTTAACTTTTAAGTAGCCAGAGTGGAGTTTCTAAAAGGATCATTCACTAGAAATGATTCACCTTGGGACCAAAATGAGTTCTTCAGAAAAGGAAGAGATTAACAAAATGGACATATGAGTGTAGGTTACAAAGGCAGCAGGTAACCGAAAGTGACAAAGTGATCATGCCTGAACCAAATGTCATTGAGCCAAAGAACTTTGACACCAATAAAACAAAGCTCTCTAGCAAAAGTGGAAAGGGAGTAACACTGCCACCTGGCCCAGCCTGAATTCTGGCCACCCTCTGAAAGATACATTTAGCCTGTTTCTGAATGCCAAGATGATAAACCTGGTGTTCCCTCATCCAAGAGGCAGCACACCCTCTGGGACCATACATTAGCAGCCTCTGATGAATGCAAGAATCACTCCAAAGTATACCAAGGGAGGTTGTGTTGGAAAAGACTTGTCCAGAAGCGATCACAGGAGACTGCCTGGTCTGGTACCACCTAAGAGAGTATTTTCTAAGATTCTAGGCATTCTTGCCTTACGTGTGCTTCTGATATACCTGATATAACACAGACTGCCCCAAAAAGTTTGCCTTGAGAAAGAACTTCTCAATGCGGAAGTTGCTAAGATTACTTGTATGACTGTTTCTGGTGGCTTCTGTATTAATCAAGGTTCTCCAAAGGAAATAGTAATAATAATATTTGTGCGTGTGTGTGTGTGTGTGTGTGTGTATCCATCTACTATATAAGAAATACCTAGACTTAGCCCATCGATGTTTTTACTGTGAGGAACTGACCCATGTGGTTATGGGGGCTGAGAAGTCCCACAGGTCTGCCTTGCACAACCTGGAGAGCCAGTCAAGCCAGTGGTATAGTTTAGTCTGACTGGGAGCTGATGGTGTCATTCCCAGTCCAAGAGCAGGAGAAGACTAATGTCCCATCTTGCAGTCACGCAGAGAAGGGGCAAATGCTCCCTTCTTCTCCCTTTCATTTTATTGGGGTCCTCAGTGAATTGGGTGGTGCTCGTGGGCACTGGGGATCACAACCTGCTTTCCTTAATTCTGATTCAAATAAATGCTAATCTCATCTGGAAACACAGACACACTTAGAAACTATGTTTAGCTGAATATCTGGGTACCCCATGATCCAGTCAGGTCATAAAAGTAACCATCGTGACTGCTTTCCATACAAGTGATGTCTCAGAGCCCCCAAAGAGCCCATCTCACAGAATTGGAAAACCCTGACAGGGAGAAGCCCCTGTCTGCTGGTGAGGTCAGCGGGGAAGAGCTAGGCGCTGTGGAGCCCCATTGCCTGCTTCACAGCCCATTCCTGTGGCTTCTGGGACAAAGTGCTCAGTGTCCTGAACCTGTCCCCGGCCCTTGGTGGGGCCTCTGAATCCTTGGTGTTGCTGTATACGACCTGAACCCAACCTCCGCCGACCCACTGAATCCTGGCTGTGGGAGGCAGCACCCAGCAGTCCGCCTGTCTGTGAAGGTCCCAGGAGACTGAGTCACGCTCAGGGTGTACACTGCTTCTTGCCAATCTTGTCACACTTCACTGCCCTGGTGTGCTCGTCCCCCCTGGTGACACCCACAGAGCACGGCCATCTCTCTCTCTATTTTTTTAGGTTTGAATTTAAATTCCAGCTAGTTAACCTGATGTGATATTAGCTTTGGGTGTACAATTTAATGACTCAACACTTCCAGACCACATCCTGTGGCGGTCCTCACAGCAGGTGCCCTCCTTCATCACCATCACCTGCTTCACCCATCGCTCCATCCCCTCCCCCGGTGACTATCCATTTGTTCTCGATAATTAAGAGTCTGTTTCTTGGTTCGTCTTTCTCTCTCCCTTTTTTTTTTCTCCCCTTTTTTCCCTCTGACTTATTTTGCTTAGCATAATATTCTCCAGCTCCATCCCTGTTTCTGCAGATGGCAGGATTTCATTCTTTTTGATGGCTGAGTAATATTGTGAGATATATACATCTCTCTCACATCTCTATCCATTCATCTTTACCTATTCTCTCAGCAAGTCAGCCCAGAGAAGAAAATGCTTCTGGGTATAATTTCCATCTCTTTCTACTTCTCTTTTTTTAAGATTTTATTTATTTATTTGACAGAGAAAGAGAGATCACAAGTAGGCAGAGAGGCAGGCAGAGAGAGAGAAGAGGAAACAGGCTCCCCGCTGAGCAGAAAGCCCAATGCGGGGCTCGATCCCAGGACCCTGAGACCATGACCTGAGCCGAAGGCAGAGGCTTAACCCACTGAGCCACCAAGGCGCCCCCCCCTACTTTTCTTTTTATTTTTTTTTTTAGGATTTTAGTTATTAATTTGATAGAGAGAGAGCGAGCAAGAGAGAGAATATAAGCAGGGGGAGAGGGAGAGGGAGAAGCAGGTTTCCCACTGAGCAGGGAGCCCGATGTGGGGCTCAATCGCAGGATCCTGAGATCATAACCTGAGCCAAAGGCAGACACTTAACTAACTGAGCCACCCAGGTGCCCCATTACTTCTCTTTCAAAAAAAAAAAAAAAAAAAAAAAAGGTTGTATTCATTTGAGAGAGAAAAAGAGCATGAGCAGGGGACGGGGCAGAGGGAGAGAGACAAATAGACCCCTCGCTGAGCAGGGAACCTGATGAGGGGCTCCATACAAGATCCCGAGATCACGACCTGAGCCAAAGTCAGATGCTCAACCCACTGAGCCACCTCGAGTCTCCATTTTGCACACTGAGCTCTTGTTAGATTACCCAACACCCCTCTAAAGCCCAGGCTGGGGAAGAAACAGTCCCCTCAGAGGACAGGAGACACAAATGAAGATCTTGTGCCCAACTTTGATGCAGACGATTCCAGGGTTTGTCCCAGACTTGCTATTGAATATTGATTTGCAATAATTGCCACTTCATTTTCACAGCATTAGGAGGTCTTTTTGCCCCTGATTAGTTACACTTTTTTAATTTAAATTTTTATCATTTTAGTGAGTCAGAGAAAGTTGTGGTGCATTTCTTAGAAGGATATAAATTATTTCTCCTTTAGTCCGTGTAAATGCTACTTTATATTAATATATATTCTGATATGAAACCATCCTGGTATCCTAAATCAGTAGTGTGTGTGTGTAGGTGTGTTGTGTTTTCATTGTCTCAGGCTATGCTGGCTTCTTAAAATAAATGGTGGCAATGACTTTCTTTTTGCCTTCTTTCTTATATTGAAAATTTAAGTGACATAGGAATTGTCTATTCCCTGAAAGTTTGAGAGAATTCTGTAGGAAATCATGCACCTTTAGAAGCCTTTACAGAGCTGTTAGGGGTATATTCTTTATCATCTGAAAATACTATCACAAGATTATTGGTTATTTTTTCAGTTTATTTACGAACTTGACTCATTTTTGATCGTGTTCCTTTTAGTCAGAAAATCATCACTATTTTTAAATTCATTCATATAGAATTTTACATCATGCTTTTATATTGCTAAAAGCTCATTTGTATTTCTAATTTTAGTTGGGTTTCTTTACCATCTTTGCCAAAGGTGGAGTCTATGTAAACCTTCTCCCCCAAATGGAATGAGTTATTTGCTTTCTTAATCTTGCTGTTTTTCTATATTAGAATTTGCTAATTGTCTCTTTTATCATTTTTTCTGCCTATATTTGAGTCCCTTTTCATCTTTCTAACATCTATGAATTGACTGTTTAATTCATGTTTTTATTCTATCATGTTTAATAATGAATGCATTTGTGGCTCTGGGTTTGCCTCTGAGTATGGCCTTTTTAATTTTGCAAATATTACAGAAGAAGGGAATCAATATTTATTGACCATGTACCTTGTCTGATATTCTGCTAAGTATTCACATCCTTCCTCATTTGTAAAATAGAAAGACTCCTGCTTTGCAAGGCTAATGGGAGACGGTGGGTGTATAAAGTCCCCAGACCCCAGCAAGGCAACCAGTGCCTTGATTGCTTTACCGCTCACGTCTCCATTTTGCACATGAGGAAACTGAGTCTCAGCAAAGTCAAGGGAGTTGTTCAAGGTCACTCAGGGAGAATGAGTGGCAGGATGCCACACCAGGTCTGTGTGAATGCCTCTCAGCACACCCATTCCCCCTCTGCAGTCCCTGCCCTGTTTGCCTTTTGGCATCCCCACCAGGAAACTGGCAAGGAAACCAGGAGCAAACAGCAGAGGAGAAAAGGGACTGTGGGCAGGTCAAGAAAGCTGAGCAAAGCTGTCTTTGCTCCCAGTCCCAAGCCCAGTGGCCTCTGCTCTCTCTAATTCCCACCAGTGGAGAATCTTAAGCATCTGCTCCCTGACAGCAAACCCCAGAGAGACCTTCACTTCCTTTTTGCAGGAGAAAGGGTGGGGACAGCTAGTAGAAGTGCCCCAAATTGTTTGGAACTGGACAAGTTGCTCCCTCTCTGGCCCTGCAGTAGTCTGCCCCGCTTACTTGTGTTGGGGGAGTCCCTGAGTCTGCCCAGGCATGGGTATTCTCTGGAGGAGGGCTTGGAGCCCAGATGTAGGTACCTGGTGAGCACCTAGGCATCTCCACCTGGGGAGGGTCTGGGCATGCGTGCATCTCTCCTGGCTCCCCCAAGAGGCCAGCTCTTGTACAGAAGGCAGTGGGAGCATGTTTAGGGTGGGGCAAGCTGGGCTGAGGAGTTTGCAGACACGCACACCTTTGTTTGCCTTTTGTCGTCCCCACCAGGAAACTGGCAGTTTACAAAGGGCTGGCAGGTGTCTCAAGGCACAGGGCTCTGCACGTTCACGGCTGTTGAGGAAATAAATCCATTTCCACTTTGTGGCCCTGTTCTCTGGGGACTTATTTGTCAATGTGAGAAGAAATGATACAGGAATAATTACCAGAGTATGCAAATGCAAATTTATGCAGTGGAAATGCAAGAAGAGCCCCAGGCACAGAGAGGGCGCTGAAGGTAATCCTGCAGACTTCTAGTAGGGGAAAGCTGGGGAGTGCCTGGGGACCCTGGGCCCAAGCAAACCCCTTCAGGAGCTCTCACAGTCCTTGTGTCTGCTGAGAGTTCCCGCAGATTCTCCCCAGACATGGTAGCCCTGCAGATCCCTCTGGCAAACCCTTTTCTATGGCTGCCAGGGGCTCCGAGTGTCAGAATGCAGGACACGACCAGGCGCGGTGTAACAGCATCCAAGACAAGGGATCCGGGCTCTTCCAGAATCAGTCTCTGAGTTAGCCAGGGAGCAGGCGAGGGTCTGAGTAACACGTCTTGTATCTATCCTGTAAAGCACGTGGCTAGACTCGAACCTGGATCCCAGAAAGCCTATACTGACTTCCTAGAGGGGGCATTCCACAAGGAAAGCTTTATTATGCTTATAAAAGTGTCCTGTAATAAATATATCTCTTTGGGGGGGGCTATTTATAACCTGTTACTAAAACACTGCTTGTTGGAACCGGGAGGGCTATTTGATGTAAGGATCCCGAGTCCTTATATATGTTCATCTCCTCATGCATTTTGCTTATGCATGTCTTGCCTGTCTAGTCAGTTACATACGCCACCCCTTTGACACCTGCCTTCCTGATAGCAACCAAACCAGAAGAATGAGGGGAACTTTCCTAACTCAGATTTAGGCACCTATTTAAGAATTAACCTCTACCCCTCAAAGACAAAGTGAGTGATGTCTTAGGTACCACCTGGAGACACAGAGGAATGAAAGATGCTCATGGCTTTTCTCCCTCTTGCCTAAGGATATATTAAACGGGGAATCAGAGCCTCACTTCATCCTGGAAGGTGCAAGCAGATTTGACATCCAACAAGGAGAAGCTGGTAAGGACTCAACATCTTTCCTCCGGGCCCTGGAATAAGCAGGCTGCCTGAAGTCAGCCTCCAAGTAGGGAAAGACAAAGGGTGGTGCCCACCCAGACCCCAGAGTTCTACCCCAGCTTCGGAGGAGGCAAGATCATCATCCTTGGTGCTGCTGTGGACGGACTGTTCACTCTGGCAACAACATTTCCTAGAACTTCAGCTCTGGGCATCTCTGGCAAAATGAGAAACAGAGGCAGGTTGGCCCACCAGCCCTGCAGAAGCCTGGCTGGGTCTCTCTTCACTTCTCTCATCATCGTCATTACCATCCCTCAAACCCCCTTTACCTTCATTCCAGCCATGCCAACCCCCATCATCACCAGCTCCTTCTCTATGTTGTTTGGAACTGGCCCTAGTGAGACCTTCCCCAGTTCTCACCACTCGGATAGGGAAAAAAAAAAAAAAAAGCATTATTCAGAAGGAGGCATATGGAGACCTGTGAAATGTGTGGGGTGGGGCTTCGAGATGTGTTCAGTAGAACTCTCATGGCTTATATTCCCTTGCAGGAGATTGCTGGTTCCTGGCAGCTCTGGGCTCCTTGACTCTGAACCAGCAGCATCTGCAGAAGATCCTGATGGACCAAAGCTTTTCACACCAGTATGCAGGGATCTTCCGTTTCCGGGTATGTGCACTGCTGGGACACTCCTTACGTGGATGGGTTCTCTGAAAGCACAGGGAGGCGAGCATCTTAAACACCCTTGTGGTCTGCTAGCTTAAGATGGAAGAGTCACCTATGTGTTAATTACTTTGTCTCTCTCTATTAAAGGACTTGAGCTCAACATCTGGTAGCACATAGGAAGCATGAGAGTAAAAATAAATGTTTTCATGTAAATAAAAAGAAATGGCAGAAACAATTAGCAAAAAAAAAAAAAAAGTCATTAATCAAGAACCCTGTACATCATTGAGCCTTTGTCTCTGTTGATCCCTGAGCCATATTTTGCTATTTGGATTACAGGAGCTTTAGAATCAGATGCAACATCTGGTAGAATAAGTTTTCCTTCATTATTTTTTCCTCAAAAATATCTTGGTAATTCTTGCACATTTATTTTTCCATGAGAATATTAAAATCATTGTGTCTAATTAAAAAGAGATGCCACTGTGATGCAGAGTGGAGCAGCGTTAAATTTATGTATTAATTTGGAAACATCACATTTTTATTATTTTAATTATTCCTTCCCAGAAATGTGGTCTATCTTTCTATATATTCAGAACCTCAATAAAATGTTTTTAAGCCCTTCAATAAAATGTTATAGTTTCCATATAGGTGTGACAGCCTTCTCATTAAATATGTTCCCAAATATTTTACAATTTTGTAGCTAGTATAAATGAGATTTTCCCCCTTCATTTCTAACTAGATGTTGCTGACAAGAGGAAAGCCACTCCTTATTATATATTAAATTATATCTAACCACCTTACCAAGTTCCTTGATTAGTTTCATTTATTGTGTGTGTTTTTTTAATTAACTGATATTCTCTGCAAATAAAGATAATTTTGTCTCTATTTTTAATATTTCTAGAACTCTCTTTGCTCTGTTGTATTAGTTAGAGGGTCACAATCTTAAATAAGAATGACAAGAGCAAAGTCCTATGTTCTCCTGATTTTAGTGATGTACTCTCCTGCTGTGCCATTTTTTTTGATGCACTGTGGGATTTGATAAAATTTTTATTAGAATTTTTGCATCAATATCATATATAGAATTGTTTTCTAGTTATTTTGACTATGTTGGAGTTATGCTGGCTTTTTACACTGTGTCCATTGACTTTTACATACCTTGATCTGAAATAATTTGAACAATTGGTTGTTAATCATTGCTTATCTGTTCTTTCAAAGTAAAACAGACAATAGTTAAATCATCTGGAACTACCTTTATTAATTGTAAGATAATATACTTTTGGTTTTTGTTAAGTTTTGGTTATAGAGTTTTAGATTATTTAAATTATGATCAGAGAATATATTCATAAAGTCTCTACATTTGGGGGACTTATTAAGGTTTTATTTATGTCAATTCTACAACAGTTTTTGCAAATGCTTCATGGACATATGAGAATATCCGGTGGGCAAAAGTTTTACATATCGACTCAAGCTTTCTAATTTGCAGATTGTTGTTTCTGCAATTGACTTTTTTTTTTTTATCTTGGCTTATTTTTTGTCTGCTTGATTTAATCAAGTCCTAAAAGAGGTGAATTGGAGTTCTTCCCCAAAGCTATACTTTGGAGGGTTCCTCTTATGTTTTCAGATGTTTAGGCTTTAAACTTTTCCTGTTCTATTCTATGATGCTTTTTCAAACTGCAAGTTTAGGAGAGGTACTCTGTCTCCTTGGTGTTCAGAAATTTCTCTGGAATTTGTCCCGATGTGTGCCTTTTTGAAATTAATCTTGTCTGGAATTCAGTGAGCCCTCTCATTCTGAAGACCTACCTCCTTTTCCTGCTCAACTAAACATCCCTTCATTATCTCTGGGTCTCCTCCTTTATTTTGATCTCTCTTCCTGAAGTTCAACTATTTGCATACTAGAGCTTCTAACAAGTTCCCGGGGGATGCTGATCCTGGTGGTCCAAGGAACTGAACAAGGAGTAAGCTAAAAGATACAAGGTTTACTGTCTGAGCTCACTTCAGCCTGCAAGTATTGGTAGTAACACATGGTTAGGAGAAACTGAGGCCCAGACGGAACTCTCTGTCCTTCTGAATGGTGAGAAATTTCCACAGTTCTCCAGAAAAAGCTGAAGTGTTGACTTCTATACATCTGTTCTCATCACTCTGAGCTTGGGTGCTACACTCTGGAAAGAATCCAATGCCCCCCCCAAAAATAAAAATTTAAATTTAAATTAAATTAAAAAAAAAAAAAGAATCCAATGCCCAGGCAGCATGGCTGCTTTGCCCAAAACACTTCTGGCGTCCCTCAGACGCATGGGTGCTGACAAAATGGCACCAGCATGCCTCTTTGAGGGTCCAGACACTATTCATATGCCAGCCCTCCTCACCTAACGGGGTGAACCAGGAAATGCACATCGGTGGCCTCATTCTCGACCCATTCTGGGAACAAGATCTTATCTGGTGCTCCCTTTGTATAAGGATAGCAAGTTTGGTCAGTATTACTCATGTGGGAATACCGGGGTGGACGGGACTTCTCAGTGAAAACCAACCAGAGAGCTCATTCAAGTCAGAACTCACTCATTCCTGACAGTCTGCTCTGCACCAGGTACTATCCTAGGTGCTGAACAAAGAAGCTATGGAAAAATAGTTTCTCCGTTCAAAGCTGGATCTCACGTTCACCATCTCATCTGACCCCAGTCACGGCCCTTTGAGGAGGTTCTTTATCACCATTTGACAGATGAGAAACTGAGAACACAGAGAAACTGAGACTCTGAAAATTCAGTGTCTTACACAATATCTGTTGTTCAGATAACTAAAGGGAAAACCAGGACTCAAGCACAGTTCCGGTGACTGGCCACTGTCTGCTACAATTTGCCATCCAGATCACACTGTTTTTCCAGTACCCCACTTCTAGTTTTCCTTGGCATCTCAAACATGTTTCCTGGTCTCCCTCCTGGTTACACCCCTGTTGGCTCTTAACCTCACCTCTCTACACAATTGACTGCATTAGGGACCCAAATCACAGCTGTGCCAGAACCAGCTGCAGCATACTGAGCTCGTTAATGACCACAAAAACATCTTTGCTTTTTCTCCACTGACAGCTCTGTCTCTGTCTCCAACTCTACTTGGAAAGTGTGTCCTCAGCTGGATACAGTGGCCCAGCATCTGGGATATCCAGCTGTGGAAAAGGCCATGTGGATGGCTTCCCGTCACTGCCAAACAGATGAGAGATCACATCCACCCAGCTTTATTCTGAGCCCACCTGTCAGAGACTTGCCTTCATCAAGGCTCAGGCCTGAAGCTAGAAGACCAGCTGCTTACCCGGCACACGGGAGACCAATGAAGAAACTCCAAAAGACTGGCTTCGTTAGGAATTTTCCTCATTTGGTGATGTCCCCCGGTGAACCATTAAGAGTTGAACGCTGAAGATTAAAGCGGTCTGTTTTGGAGAGGAACATCTGGTTCATTTGCACTCTTAGCGGTAGCGGTGCCACTCAGTTTCATTTCTGCTGCTCTGATGGCAGGGCCAGCTTCACATGAGCTGAAGAGGGCCAGAGCAAGCCTGTCACTGCTCAGTCCTCCTGAGCAATCCTCATCATCCAGCTTTCAGGCCTTTGCCCACACTGTCCCTGCCATCTGGGATGCCTTTCCTACCTCCTTGCCACCTGTTTCAGTCCTGCCTCCTCCTTTGAGGCTTTGGCTCCCAATAGGCTCTCCTCTCTCCTGTGATAACACTCTGTATCTACCAGTCTCCTCATTATTCAGCATCTGTTCCGTCTATTGCCATTTTGTGCCCAAGGTATACCTGGAAAGTCTCACGTGTGTCTGAAGCTCCTAGAGGACTTGCCAAAGTGAGGCCAGAGTTAGCAGCAAAGCCTAACTAAAACCCAAGTCTCTCTCCACGCAGCCTGTATTTTCCTTGACTCACTTGATCTGTGACTCATCTGTCCAGTGCAGTTGACATGCCTGGCCCCTGCCCACTGACCTGGACCAGGATTTTGTTTTGGATAGAGTTTGTTGTGACACTGATGAGGTCATGTCATGACAGTGGTTATCATTTGGCGTGGGTTGGGGGTCCAGAAGCTCCCTTCTGCCCCGGTTCCACTAAGGCATATATTTCATCTCTCTTCCAGTTCTGGCAGTGTGGCCAGTGGGTGGAAGTGGTGGTTGATGATCGCCTGCCTGTTCTGAAAAAGGAGTACCTCTTTGTGCGTCCTTGCAGCAACAACCAAGAGTTCTGGCCCTGCCTGCTGGAGAAAGCTTATGCCAAGTAAGGGTAGCCCACCCCTCTGACCAGGGCCTCAGCGCTGCCTTGCCTGCCCTGCTGCAGGCCCTGATGGATGCTGCATAGCAGCTCGTCCTAGGATTTTTGACAGCTCTGCATGCATGTGATGCCCTGGGAGCATCAGAGCCATTGCCACCAGGCTGGGCATCCCCCATAAAAAAATCACTGCCTGCAAGGCTGTGTTGGGGCCAAGGGAGGAACCCAGAGACACATAGCAAGGGGTAGGCAGGCCAGGACTGAACAGAGGTATGAACTAATAATACTGTTATTGCAAGGGCTGGGATAAGGGCCCAGGTAAAATATAATAGTATCGCTGATGGTTGAAGTCTGAGGGAAGGACAGAGAGAGAGAACAATCTTGACTTTCTGACTCACAGAGAGTCAGGTTGAGGTTGTATAGAGGACAGGGCATTGAGTGAGGCCTTGAAGGTTGGATAGAATTTCGGTAAGAAGAAAGGGGATATGTTGGAGAGTTCTTCCCAACCATGGGATTGATTCAAGCAAAGACTAGGGGCAAGACAGCTCAAAGTGAGATTGGGCAGTTGGGGGCCTGGTATGACTACTATGAGATGGTATCTGTGCCGGGGGGTGGGGTAGGCAGTGCAGGCGTCGCTGGTTATTCTATGGTCCAAGTGTCATGATGCAAGGACTACCTTCTAGTGTTAACAAGCTCAAGTTCACCCCAATTCATATGTTTTATTTAGACTCTTTGAGTTGCATGTATTCAGAAGATATGTACTGAGCATTTAACCACAGGCCAGGCACTGTGCTTGGTACGGGGACAAAGATTCTGAGACTGGCTTAAGTAGGTGTGAGCAAGAGTATGTGTTAAGTGGAAATGGTCAATGTCACAGAGAACTGTGCAGGACACATCAGAGCTAGAAATCAATGCTAAGAGACAAAGGGACCATCCTTTTCAGGAGAAAATGAATTAGTGGAGTATCACCAAATCAGGTTCTCTAAAGATCATCATCACCCACCAAATTTTACAGGACGGGAAGCCAAGACTTTCAGTAGTCACGTGATGGTAATCGCTAGCCTGTATCTGCTCTGGTTTTCAGTGATTTGCCCAGGGACATTATTTAGTAAGACTGAAGACCCTACTGGGTCCAGTTCTGGGCCCGAAGAATGTTAAAAACCCCAAAGACCTGTCCTTCTAGAGGTCATGATCTGAACAGCCATGTATCTCGAGAGCTCTTTTTTTTTTTTTTTTTGCATCCTGTCTGTTGAGCCTATTTGTAGAAAACTAAAGCTATTGCTCATTTCCAGTGTCAAGAAGAGCTGTTCATTAGCATTTGAGAAGGAACCCTAGCTAACAGCCAAGGTTGTTGAACCGATCCATATGTTCAGGGAGGTTAATTTGCTTCTAAGCTACTTACCCAAACACTGACATTTCTTTCCAGTATGGATTCAGCTCTCACTACTTCCAGGCTTCGTGGTTTTTTTTTTTTTTTTTTTTTTTTCCTTCTGTGAAAAGGGGAGCATGCCAGTTCACTTGGAGAATTAGAAACCTCGTGGAATGAAATGATGACTTTGACCCCATTTTGTTAACAGTCGACCTAAAGCCATCATTCAGCTTGAAAAGAAAATGGGAAACTGGACCCGGAATCCACATTCCACCGCCTAAAGAAATCTAGTGGAGGATAAAATGTTTCAAACTAGTAAGCTGTTTAAAAGCTTTCCCCTCTATCCGAAGAAGGGAACCATAGAATGAAGGAGTGAGTGCAATGGAATGAGAGCTCTCAGGGCTGGAAGGGGGCTCTGTCAGCCTCAAGTCCTGCCTCCTCCTTTGAAAGATGAAGAAACTGATATGCAGAGCAACCCAAGGTCACATGGTGTTTGAGACCAAGATGGGATGAGAACCGTTCTCCTTATCCCAGGTTTTTCCATCATCCCTTAATGCTGTCAGTTGTATGTTAAAAAGATTTGTGGTTTTGCTTCTTTGGAACTCAGAGGCAGGCACAAACATGGAGAACCCATCCATCCCCATGGAGATGACCATCCTCCCCACCCACAAATGTAGGCCAATGAACACACACATCCCAAACTTTCAACTCTCCTGGCAACTGGGAAGTCTGGAAATGAATTGGTTGAGTCTGTCAGATCTACACTGGCAGGTTTTCACACACACCCCCTCCAGAGGTCTTAACATAGGAGATCGCAGGACAACATCTGTCAGGTTGCGTATCACCCTACACAGAATCTGGGCAATTAAGAATCCCAGAATTTTAGCGTCCTTTCGGATTCTGATGTAGATGTCTGAATTCTTCCCTCTTTCTTCGCATAGCTGGGCAGATAGACACTTCCCCCAAATGAGGCTGCAGCCCAGAGATGAGAACAAGGTACTCTCCAAATTCCTGGGCTCAGGTGACAAGGTATAGTGACAGGTGTGGTGAACACAGTTGTCTCTATCTTTCCTTCCCTTTCTGTTTCCTGTCAGCAAAGGGGGCTAAGAATAGTTGCCATGTTCCTGAAGCATCAGCAGGATTTGTGAGCTCATGTTTGTGAAGCAGAGAGATAGCTCCTTGTTAAATACCCAGCTGCTGCTGAGACAGGTTTGTGCGCATCGTGGAGAGATGGCGAGAGAGAGGCTGCTGGCCTTCCCCGTGCATTGGGTCTCTCTGTGGCAACTGTGGGGTGCTGTGAATCCAAGACCTCAGATGGGGCCCCCAGACACTGAGGCAGTGGGCCTGAAGTTGCCGAGCCAGGTCCTGGCTCTTTTCTGGAATGGTTCCAGGGCCGCCCTCTTGAAATCAAGGGAGGGCCCCTGAGTGCCTCAACAAGAAGGGGCTCTTACAGTTGGGGAGATCATGCTGGTGGGCTCCAGAATGGGTTCCAGCACCCCAGTCTTTGTGAACTTCCAGGACCCTCAGCAACTCCCCTCCTACTCTGACCAGAGCCAGAATAACCTGTGGGAAATCAGGAGTCAGATGTTCAGACCCAATTGGGCATGACCATTATCAAAGGCAGGCTTTGTCTTTGACTAAGTAAATACCCCAGAGATAAGAGTCGGTCAGGGCATAACCCTGGGTCAGGGAGAGGGAAAGACAGGAAGATAAGATTTAGAACCAGTTTTTTTTTTTTTTTTTTTTTTGGTTAAAGATTTTTATTTATTTTTTATTTGACAGAGATCACAAGTAGGCAGAGAATCAGGCAGAGAGAGAGAGAGGAGGAAGCAGGCTCCCTGCTGAGCAGAGAGCCCAATGTGGAGCTCGATCCCAGGACCCTGGGATCATGACCCGAGCCAAAGGCAGAGGCTTTAACCCACTGAAACACCCAGGTGCCCCTAGAACCAGTTTTAAAAACAAGTTGAGATCAACCTGTCACATGGCAGTTTCTGCAGAATGGCCTTTTGTGTAGCCTTAGCTTTCTGTTATAAAGGACTTGTAAGCATTCGTGGCATTTGTGCCTGGGTGGTTGTCCTGCTTTCAGTGGCTATTTGACCTGTATTTGCTGAAGTGAATTTACATGAATGCTGGGCGGTGCCCAGGAGGAGAAAGTGGCAGGGGTGGGACTATGGGAGAAAGGACTGAGGGGCCCCAGGAGCCTACCCAGTCAACCTCGCTGTTCTCAGGTGAAAGACCCAGAAGGGAGGGTTGCAGGCCGCCTAGAGGAGCCGCAGGGAGGAACTTGGGCCCAGAGCCCCACAGGATTTGCATTACCAGAAAGCAAGCCCTGGTCAGAGCTTCCCTACTGCCCCTGGCCCATGAGGGGCGCGGCCTTGGCTGGGGACAGATGAGAAGGTCACAGGTGAGAAGGCTGAGTGACTGGGGCAGTGGTGGGGAAGACTCCCGCAGGGCAGGATTGACACCAGGAGGCAGAGTCTTCTCCCTGCCTGGCCTCAGCTTCAGGTCTTCGTGGGTTTCCCCTGTCTGTATCTTGGGGTTCCTTGGGAGCCTTTCCAGTTCACCCCACTGACAGGAACTTAAAAACAAATCTGCTCTTGTCTGGCCCTGCTTCAGTGGTCAGCATAGCCTCTCTCCTGGGAGCACCATCACGAGGCCCGGGTCCGCCATGCTCTTCCGGCTCCGGGGATCCTTCCTGCTTGGAATGCCCACCCCACTGGCGTTACCTGCATAAACTCAGCTCAGACCTGTGCCCCTCCGAGAGCCCCCCAGACCGACGGGCAGCTCCTCTCTGCTCCAAGATGATCCACATGCTTTCAGAGCAAATAGATCCTCAAGGGATTCGAAGAAACTAGACGAGTTATTCTAAGGAGAGTGTCCCTGTGGCAGGGTGCCATTGGGAAGGAGCGACAAGTGCAGGTAGGAGCAGGGGGAGCGTCGATTTGCTGTGCCCAACAGTGACAGCCACGAGCATACCCACTGCGAGCCACACGTGCCAGGACCAGCATACCTGTCACAGCCTCCCGGGGAGGTGGGGACTGTCCAATGCCCCTTCCCTTGCCAACCAAGGGAGCCATAGAAAATCTCAGCCTCCTGCCCATGACTGGGAGCTCATGAGAGGGGAAACCGGGAGCTGAACCGGAGAGGTTTGTCTCTTGAATCTGGGATCTCTCGGCCTCCCTAGTGAGTGACTGGGGCTGTTCAGGTTTGGGGGAGAATGGAGAGGAGGGGAGATGGGACAATAAGCCTGGGAAGGAGCAGAAACCCCAAGCAAGAGTGGGAAGAGGTACGGTAGAGGACACATATGAGGTTCCACGTGGCTTGCTTGGACAATGTGTTAGGTAAGACTTGTCCTCACCTTCGTTACCTTCAGTACAGTCGACTGGCCTCCCTGACCGTCCTGGGATGAGGGGGTTAGTTCTGAGAGCGAGAGATCTGGATCACGCTTTGCACTGCAGAACGGAGGCTGATCGTGGCCACAGTGGGCACCAGGCTGTTGGCTGAGCTCCTGGAGGGGAGGTCTTGCCCACCTTTGAACACTCCTTGCCTAGCACAGTACCCCTCACACAGCAAGGACTTGTCGCTATTGTTAAGCAGAACAGGAAACAATGGATATTCATCATCCTAATATCCGATGTCTATTAAGGGCTTGCCACGTGCCAGGGAAGTAATTTGTCCAAGATCAGGCAGCTAAACACGTGGAGAGGTTGGGATTCGACCTCTGGCCTGAGGCTCCAGCACCTGCACTCCTAACCCTTGCACGCTACTGCTGCTTGTGGGGCTGCCCAGCCCCAGGAGACCAGGGGAGGGACAGCGGCAGAACCTTCATCCAGGCAAATAGATGGCAGGTGGCCATGGTCAGGGCTAGACTGGGCGATCCTTCACTGGGCGATACGCAGCGGTCAGGTGTGCAAGCTCCCTTCCTGGAACGTCTCACCAAAGGCCTTAGAGGGGCTGACGTGACTTCCCTCTTCTAGGTTCCATGGGTCCTATGCCAACCTGCACTACGGCTTCCTTCCTGACGCCCTGGTGGACCTCACGGGAGGAGTGGTCACTAACATCGACCTGACCTTTCCTTCTGACCTGGTGACGATGGTGAAGACAGCGGCCAAGGCAGGCTCCCTGATTACCTGCGCCACCCTGGCCGAGGTGAGCAGACTCAACACCTCACCCAGGAGTATCTAACCACCAGCCAGCTCAGCTAGTAAGGGGCATGGCCAAGCGGGCGCCATGGGGCACTGGCACTGTGCCTGATGTCATCCTCACAGCAGCCCTCCCTCTGAGACACGGGCTGCAGAATTCACTTACAGAAGAGGAGATGGGCTCAGAGAGGCTGAGGAAAACTCTCAGCCTCACACAGCCAGTAAGTGGCTGAGCTGGATTCGAACACATGGCCTGACCCTGAGGCCTTTGCCTAGCACAGCCGTGTGACCAGGCATAATGGGGTCCGGAGGGACTGGGCAGCCCTTTGATTCTCACTGGCTCCAAGGGTGGCATCCCAAGGTCAGAATAGACTCCAAAATAATTTGGAGGGTCGTCCTAGTTTTTCAGAATAGGACGACCCTCCAAATTATTTCGGAGTCTATTCTGAGACAGCCAGCTCCCTATCCATGAGAGTATTTCCTGCGCTCTCTAAACACGTGGGCTTTGGGTCATGCCCCCCCTATCTGAAACAACCCCCCAAAACTAGCATGCACTTTAGTTGCTTACAGCGTAGGGGTGCTGGGTGTTCCGGGCTCCTACAAGACACCTAGCCGATGTGTTTTGTGCCGCCTGTCATTGACGAGGGACTGGAGGAGGAAGCAGTCCACGTGGGCCTTGGGACTCTGGGGTTCTGTCAGAAACGGGGTAGTCTCCGGAGGTATGACACACCTGGGGCCTCAACCACCCGGCAGCCTGCAAACTCGGTCCCTGTAGAAAAGACTTCCAGGAGCCTATGCCTTTCCAGTGCCACAGTTTAGCTGCTGATTGAACTGTGCTTCTCTGTTCCTCTGAGGAACCTGTGAACGTGTAATGCTTGGTCTCCTTTCCTCCTCTGAAGCCGACAGGTGTGGCCAGGAGCCTGAAGAATGGCCTGGTGAGTCAGCACGCGTACACCGTGACTGGAGCCGAGCGGGTAAGTCGCCCGTGGGGAGTGTCTGGCTTTCTTATTCCTCAAAACAGGAGTCAGCATCCCAGGTCCTCAACAAGCCCCCACCCAGCCTCATTTCTTCCATTCATCCAGAAATTCTGGTGCCCAGAGTCTTCCTCCCCCAGGGACCCACCAGAGCTCTTGCGGTCCTTGCGCTGATCGCAGACAGGCTGAGTGTCCTGCTAGACTGTGGGGTTAGCCCAGAAAGAAAGAAGAAAGAACCACCCAGACGACTAGGGCAAGCCCTGGAAGGGTTTATGTACCAACTAAACTGCTACCACAGAGGCCCTCCAAAAAACAGGGGCTTAAATAAGATAAAGTTCATTCCTATCTCAAGGAAGCAGGTAAACCCAGAGCTGATAGCTGATAGGTGACTCCGCCATCGGCAACATGGGTTCTCCCTGTGAGCCCAGGGCAGCTGCTCCGAGGATGGCCATCTTCCATCCAGGGAAAGGAAAAGAAGTGAGGGGATGCTTATATATTCATATAGAAGGCACCCATCAGAAAACACACACACCGTGTCCTCTCAGAACCCGTTACTCCGAACTTAGTCACGTGCCACACGGAGGCCCAAGGGAGTCTGGGAAACATCCTGTCTAGACTTTATTCCCATGGAAGAGGGGAGGACAGCTGTTGGAGGACAGTGTTCCCCCTTGATGCAGACATGGACCCGGGGTAGACAAAAGCGTATGTGATTACTGTGTGCAGTATCATTTGGTCCTGAAAACATGACTGAGGTCCAGCCTCCTCCTTTCCTAAGTGAGAAGCCGAAGCCTGAGAGGGGAAGGTCAGGGTCAACACAGCTACTTAAAAACGCTGGACCTGGACACCACCTGTGTGGTAACTGTGCTTTCTGGCCTTGAGACAATATCCCACACAGGTTCCCTATCTCTATTTCCCACCACTCTTGAGGCCTAATCATGTCCTTGAGGCCCTGAGAGGCCATCCCAAGCTCCAGGGTACACTTTCCACACGTGTTTATGACCATAGAACGCCGAGCATCGGGCACTGTTTCTGGCATGGGTTCTCATCTTTGCCTTCCTTCTCTCTGTATCAGTCTGTCTCCCATCCAGTGACCCCAGGCCACTTGCTCTGTCGTTTTGTGTCTTGGTGAGTTTTCCACAAAATAGAGACACTATCTTCTGTCTCCTGTTTTTCTCCTTAAGGAAATGCATCACAAAATGCTTTCCTCTGCACAGTACCTGGGAGAGAGTAGGCACCTAATCAATGCTTATGAGATTATGGATGAGTGCGCTTGTGTGCGTGGGTAAACGTGTCCCTCTGTGGCCTGTGAAGATGACGTCACTGAACCTCTGCGTCCATCACAGAATGGATGGGAGGCACTCAGAACACGTTTCCTGAGAGCAAGGAAGAGATCACCCTGATTAAGCAGGGAAGACTCCAGTCACAGTGGCCCCAGATTCTCCTCGTCCAAATGCTCCCAAGCCCGTCTCAGAATTCCCCATGGGGGCAGCCAGTGCCCTCATCACACCAGGCCACACAGGGACACGCCGCTTCCCACAACTCCCGTCCCAGATGTGCAAAGTCCAGGCTAGGGATGACAGATTGGTTTTCTTGTGTGTCAGCCTTGATCCATTGACACTGCTGCTCGGATGACGGTGTCGACGAGACTTTGGTACTGCTTCCAGATTTGGGGAAAGAGCTGTGATCGATGTGTGATCTGTGCTAGAACAAAGGAGCCGTGGCACCAGTGTGATGTCTCCGCCCTTCCTGGGAAAGGCTCTTTCTATAATGAGACAGCCCTTGGTTTTAATCTGCCATGAGCCCTGAAACCACTTCTCCTAGGACTAATCATTCACAACCTGCGGGACTAGCATTTAAGGGAATACATCGGAGGAAATAATCATCCTGAACTAGATAACCTGCATCAACTCTTCCCTGGGGGGAACCCTTTCTGAGAACATGGCCAGGGCCAGGGGTACAGTGAGTGGCCAGGAGAGGTGAAGCAAGAGTGAGTTCTCAGAAGTAGTCATGACCTTGGCCTTGAGTGTGACCTCTGAACCTCTCTGCCAAGGCCCAGGAACTCGACTTGGTTGAAGATTTCTCCTCCAAAACGAGGAGGTCACAACTGACCTTAAGTGCTAAGATTAAACCAGCCCATAAATGCAGTGTGTTTCTTAATCTGCTCATCCTCCTCTGGGCAGGACACAGACAGGAAGATAAATGAAATTGGCATATTTTATTATGCACCTAGCGCGGGCGGTGACTCCCCTGGGCAAGGAGGTGAGTGTTTATCTGCATGCCTCATTGAGCCCTGCTTTCAGCTCCTTCACTTGCTGGCCGTTCTTCTCCCCTATGCCCATCTCAGCCCCAACTATGGTGGGCACTGAGGGTGGCTCATTAAGCTTTTTGGGCCACCGGACAACCATTTCTCACATCCCTGCTCCGTGGGCTCCACCAAGCTCTGACAGTTAATAAATACACTGGGTATGAGACCTGGAGTGCCTTGGGGTGGGGAACCCAGGTCTGTGCCAGGAGCCCCCTCCCAATCCCATGTAGCTTTAAAAGCCAAAGCACCTTCCCTATAGGGCCAGCCAGATGGAAGTGGATGGAAGAGAACCTTATCCAAGCCAAGTTCTCTTGGCCTGTCTCACCGTGTTGTTCCTACATGGTATTGCCCTACTGGTGATGACACGGGCCTTGGCCCCGTGGCACAGGGGTCAGATGCAGAAGTCAGGGTTGTGGCCACACCCGAGAGTGGTCCGGGCCCTGGAGCAGCTGTAACCTTTATCTGCTCCCATCTCCAAATTCAGAGCCTGGCATGGGATGAGAATTCTTCTGCCACTTACACTGTGGCCTTGGGAAGGTTGCTTAACCTCTCTGGTGCTCAGTTTCCTCCTGTGCAAGACAAGGGTTCTATAAACATCCACTGGCAGTTTGAAGGATAGAAGGTACTCCAGCGACACTGGGCTCCGAGCCCCACCTCCATATGTGGGGTTCTCCTCCATGTGGTGAGACTGCCCTCGGGGCTGTCTCCGCTGCCTCTGGCCTGGAACCACGGAGCAAGTGGGCCCCTTCCCTGGCCCGTACAAGGACTCGGCCTCCACGGATGACCTCAGCACCAATCAGCGTCCAGCTACAATACACAACCATGCTTTAATTCCTCTCACAAGGCTGAGGGCTCCTGGATCTGGGAATGTGGGTTCAAAGGGTTGAGTTCATTTTGTTGTAACTTATCAACGGTCCTGGACTTTGACCTCTGTGGTCTGAAGGAGCCAGCTTCCATATCGGGGGATGGGTGCTGATGGTGCCTGGGGAAGGAAGGAAAGTTCAGGTCATCAAGGTGCCTGCCTGCCAATAGTGGCAGGGTGACAGGAGGCCTGGGGCAGTGCCAGGGTGCAGGTGTGGGAGGGCTAACCTCGACTGTCTTGAATCAGCCTCCTCCGTATCCTCGCTCAGGACCACGCGGTGGGAGACCCCGGCACAGCTCCCAGTGTGCTGCGGGCAGGAGAGCAGCTGCATCTGTGGAACAGAGATGCTAGGGCCGGGGGGGCGGGAAACAAAGCCTGCAGGAGGTTGGGGACCCATCAAGATCTCCCCTCTGCAGCCCGCAGCAACGTCCTGTGCTATGTATCTGCTATTACATCTCAGCCCACCCACGTTCCAGGAGGTCTTGTCCGGAATGATGAAGCTGTGTCTGCCCTACGAGGTGCTGAGCAGGAGGGGTCGTTTTCTCCTCCTTCATTCAAACTCCGTGCAGGCAGCACAGAGACATTGATTTTTTTTTTTCCTTTCAATTTTTTTCCTGGCTGCAGCCAAATGAGGTCAGAAGTTAAATTAGTCCTTGGAGGTAAAAAGCAGCTGTATTCATATCCCCTCTTTCTGCTGACTTTCTTTTTCTGTTCTTTGCAGATTCAGACCTGGAGGAGCGGGGAAGATCTTATCCGCCTGTGGAACCCCTGGGGCCACACTGAATGGAGAGGACGCTGGAGTGATAAGTATGGCTTCCGAAAACCTCTCTCCAGGCTTCCTTAGGGCCTGGTGTGCCGAGAGCCCCTGCCCTAGGAGTGCAGTCTCTGTCTTACCTGCTGCGGATCTCACTGTCCATTTCATACCTATGTGTGGCTGTCAGTCCTCCTCCCATTCCCATGATGCCATTCGCCAGGCATCTATTAGACCCCTACTGTGGTCTCCCTGCACTAAGTATACTGTGTTAGGGGTGCTGTGGGATATGTACAGATGACGAGACCCGGTGTCTAGCCCCCAGAAGGTTACAGTTTAACCACTGTGAACCTACGTTCCCAGAATTACTTGTTTTTTTAAAGGGTTGAGGAAGGAGTAGGACATATGTTAAGTCCTACTTGGCAGAGAGAGCTGGAGAGAAGGAGCCTCATCCCATAAGGGATCCCATGGGATTTTTATCCTGATGACACCATCAGGAAAAGACTTCATTCTCGGGGGAGTTGGGGAACTGAGGCAAAGTTCTGGCTGCCTGGGTTGTCCGTCCTCCTTACTGATCTGGACTCTGATTATAACCAGTGTCTGGACTCACACCTTGCTTGCATAGGAGGAGTGAACGGAGCTGAGTGTCAGAGGCCCCTTGGCCATGTGCCACATGGCTGCGCTCTGCCCCAGCTGGCCAGTGGGGACATAGCTGTGTGGTCAGTGGTTCCCTGGAGCCAGGCTAACATTTCCCAGCTACCAAGAAGACTGATCCCTGGTCCCCATCCTTTGCTAAGGATGAGATGGCTATCCCTAGAGGGCCAGCTGGGGACAGGTTACCTGCTCCTCGGGCAGCCAGCAGGGCAGGTAGAGGCAATGGTGGAAAGAGAATAAGACTTGAAAAAAAAATGCCGAGCATTCAGACAGGTGAGTGACACCCAACAGCAGTGAAAGTCAATACAGGGAGAAGCAAGTTCTGGAAGACAAATGCAGAGTTGGCCAGCGTCCCTGCCCTACTTTCAGGCTGCCCAGAAGCTGACCTAATGCCACAAGTCAGGCAGGGCCCCCTCTGATCGTCTTTGAGCCCCAACAGCTGGTGTGTGCCTGCTCAATGTGGACACTCGTCAAATGGAACATGAACATACGTTGAAGCTGGGGGTAGAAAGGGGGAGCAGCAGAAGAGGGGGGGCAAACAACATGAATTCATAGAATGAACCTGGTGGGACCTCAGATGCCCCCTGGAGAGCAGAGCAGCTGAACCCCCTCCCCAGAATGGGAATGAAATTACAACACCATCAACCATGAACAGTGTTGCATTTTCACTCACTCTTCCCCCTTCTCCTTTTATCTTGCCTCTATGCCTCCTTCCTTCCTTTGCCTCTTCCAAAGTAAATCTTAGCAACTTCTGGCCTTTGCCAGTTCTCTTTCTCAGTCACTACCCCTAGCTGCCAGTGTGGCCCAGGGGGCAATGTGATTAACAGAATTCCTGACTCAGGGCTGGCTGCTGGGGTTGGAGGCTGGAAGGGCGAATGTCAATGACACGTTTGCCTGGGGTGGGAGATGAGACAACAGATTCAACCTCGCCTCATGTGTTAAATATCTTGTGACTGGTGAAGGCAGCAGGACACCAGGCATTAGGGAAGAGTTTCCCATGGGCTGACATGTTCAGGGCAAGCTTAACTTGAGTTCAAGCAGGAAAAAAAATAAGTATCACCAGGTGGGCGGGGATGTACAGACCACTGCGCTGAGCCAGGAAGGCTTATGGTGTGTTCAGGGCCAACAGAGGAACCCAGGAGAGAAGTGCTGGGAGCTGGGACCAGAGAGCCCAATGGCAGCTTGGGAAGTTGGGTTTCTACCTCATGAGCTTGGGATTTCTGAAGGCCCTTCATGAGGGCGAGACCCATGCAGAGCAGGGAATGGGGAGGTGGGCCAGGCCGTGCTAGCTCCGAGGGTCACATACCTGGCTATGCTTGGGTTCACCAGGTCCCCCCAGAAGCGGAGCCATTAGAAAGTGACAGGTGATCAGATGATCACCGTCTCCCTGCTTTCGAAGGAATGGAGAGGGATGGAGAGAGCTGGATGGTCTAATCTCAGCCATAATTGAAATTTCAGACGCACACACTTAAAGGCAAACTTGCATGAATCAATGGCATATTGATTTACACTACATTTATTTTCCCTTACACACTGCAGAAAATGTAATTATCACTTAATTATAAAATTGCCATTTTACAATAACACATCTGACTGGCTCAGCCTACGGCCCAAAGCGTGGGTGGTGGTGCCTTCCTTGCTCTCCCGGCACAGAGCTGACCCAGGTCCTCCAAGAAAGACACAAGCCACTTCTAGAGAGAGATCAGTGACACATTGTGCCTATGGGGGCTGTTGCTTATGAGCCTGTCTCTGCTATGGGGAGCAGGTTGAAGAAGGGACAGCTGCTCGCTTCTGCCTGGGAGGGCCTCCTCCTCTACCACACACCCTAGGACTAGCTTCTGGAATACATTACCCTAGTGAACTGCGCAACTTTATTCATTAGGCACGCTGAGAACTATTGCATGTCTGAGTGTCAAGGCAGTGGGTTCACTCCTGTGATGACGTAATGGTGAGAGCGCGTCACTGAGCTCATGAAGCTCAGAGTCCGGGGAGGGATGGCGAGAAATAAAGAAGCACCAGAAACATGGGGTTCCAAGTGCTGAGGCAGGAGTGGTATGGCTGCCATGTGCATTCTGAGGAAGCGCAAGGACTCTCAAGGTGGTTTGGGAGTACCATGGGGGGACAAGCAGGGTTTCCAACAGAGATGGCTTTTAGGAGGAAAGCTGAGTGACATCCTCAGGTTACAGGGCTGAAAGGAGGAAGAACATCCCAGGCAGAGGGAGCCTCACCACGAAGGCCAGGGCAGACCAGGACAGGTATTTTCAAGGAGATGAAGATGTTCAGGTTCTGAGTGCAGAATTTCAGTGTGGGGTGTGTGGGGAAGTGGGGAGCTCCTCGGGGAAAGCTGGAGAGGGAGGCAGAGGCCAAGGTTCTGTTTCAGGAGCTTGAACTTCATCCTGAGAGGACAAGGGAACCCCTGATGTGTTTTAAGTGGGGAGATGTCAGAATCTGATTTCTATTCTCGAAAAATCATTTGGATGGCCATGTGGAGAGCAGATAGGGAAATGGACAGGACTGCATGGTGGGAGACTAGTGGGAAGTCCAAAAGGGGATGAGGGTTTGTGAACCAGGAGAGTAGCAGGAGGGATGGAAGTAAGCCAATGACTTTGAGAGGGGTTTCAGAGGTGGAATTGTAAATCACCATGACTTGGAGGTTGCTTGCCTGTGGCGGGTTGAAGGGAGGAGTGGCTTCTCGCAGTCCTGCTCTGGCACTAGGAGAAGGCAGAGGGCAGTTTGGGATAGGCTGGTTTCCAGGTCACTACGGGCTCTGGTGGAGACGTGGCTTGACCCATAGCATGTATCCATCTAACGCTCAGGGAAGAAAATCTGGCTGGAGACCATTTGGAAGCCACCAGCATATAGACAATGACAGATTCTGTCACTAGGTAGAATGACACCCTCCACCCGCACCCCGAGAACTCGTGGAGGACAAGCCTCCTGCTGGGGCACGTTTTGCAGAGATGCAGTCCTTCGGGAGCTCTCAACCCTGTGGTCTGTGTCTCCACGCTCAGGTCTCTGGAATGGCAGAAAATCCCGGACCAACAAAGAAGACAGCTGTATGAGAATAAGGAAGATGGAGAGTTTTGGTATTTTTCTTTTAAGACTATATTTTAAAGCTTTACCTATTGCCCACACCCTCAATCCCTACCCCTTTTCCTAAACCTTGGTGGGAGTAGGGATTAGCTTTGCAGAGACCTAGGTAGAAGGAGACTATTTCTTTTTTTCCACCAAGACACACAAGCATTGGATGGGAAATTATTTGTGTGCTTTCTCTCTGTGTGAAAGGGATTTCATTTCTGAAATATTGGAACTTCCAGGAAATGTGAATGGTAAAGGGAATATTGGTCCCCAAGCTTTGAAATCAATAGTTTTCCGGAAACCAGGATGTCTGATTATCACATCTGTGTGTTAGGACCCACAGTGTCCGCCTGGAGCTCCACAGTCTTCTAAAAGAGCAATTCGGTCTTGATCTTCCAGCCCTGACTCTAGAGCTCTGGGTGAGACATCCGTGTCCTTGCCCAGCAGCTATGGAGGACCAGATTTTTTAAAAAATACATTCTCAGCCATGTGCTCACATCTTAAAGGATAATAAGGACATTTCCCTGAGAGGTTACATTGTTTACTTAGTAACATATTCAAATGGATTTAGCATGTGTGAAAAGGAGACTGGGTCTACAGAATCAAGAAGCAGAGAGACAAATATAAATTAGAAAGGAAAAATATTGCCAATATCTCTACTTTGATCACAGTAGAAGGGGGGATTTTATTTTTTTCCCTTTTTTAAAAATTTAAATTCAATTAGCCAATAAAGCACATCACTAGTTTCAGGTGTAATGCCCAACAATTTGTCAGTTGCGGATAATGGGATGAGCACTGGGTGCCAATACAAGGTGGGATTTTAGATGTTGAGACCATTTTATTCTGATAAGGATCTCAACAATGAATTTGGTGGAGGGTCGGAGGAAACAGTAGTTTTCCTGGCACCACATGGGATGCAGAGCAGAGAGAGACAGCAGCCATCCTTCACAGCCATGAGAGGGACTTGCAGAACTCGGAATTTTATTCAGTCCTGTCCTCCTGACCACAGGAGGGAGAAGTATCCTTGACGGTGAGTGAGGCAGGCTGAGGCTCTGGTCTTTGGGTAAGACAGGGGTAAGTCCACGACTACTGGAACTGACAGACAAAGGTGGACTGGAGAGAAGGGCACCCCCCACCCTAGGGACAAAACCAGTAAAATGATGTCTGTAACCTGCTTATAACAGGATGTCATGTCAAGATTTCCGAGACAACTTCTCCTGCCTGCATATATGTAACCAATTTCCAGTCAGTCTAAACCAAGGAAACGTGCCTCATGGAAGATGGTGCCAGATGATGTTCAAGAACAGTGAAACTCCAGGAAATACCTCAGGTAGTTATGATGTTGGCAATTCTTCTGACAGATGGAAGCAGTCAGCCCTAGCCCTGCCCTGGCTTCAAGTCTCAGTGGCCTTTGGTTCTAGACTATCAGCCTGAATTTGAGAGAAATCTTCCAGTCTAAAGGGACAGTAGTTGTTCTCCAAGGGAAACAGTTGCTGGTGGGCTGGGTGGGAGAATCTCACGTGAGCCTCCCCTTCCCTGTCATGCTCTCCCACCATCCTACTCACCTACACCTGCCTCCCAGGAGGAGGACAGGCTCACTGCTCTTCAGTAATTACACGGGACTGGGGAGCTATGGAAAGAACACTAGACAAAAGTCAGGGCTTGGGTTAAACCATCACTTTGCCTCATAAAGCACCATCAGACATAAGAGAATGTTCCTGCCCCATGTTGGTGGGTGTATCCTGTTGCCCCACCCTGAGATCCCAGAGGTGGACACCTCAGAGCCTGGACTTGGGTTCCCCTGAGATGAATTTTGTTGAGTGTGACCTTGGGAGGGTCACATGTTCTCCCCACACCTCCTGCTCCCCATTTGCCACACAGATGAATGAACTAGCTCCCCGTGAACGTGAACCTGAGTATTCTTACACATCCTTGAGAGGGGAAGCTATGCAAACAAGTTTGTGTGTGTGTGTGTGTGTGTGTGTGTGTGTGTGTGTGAGAGAGAGAGAGAGAGTATGCAGCATGTGTTTGCACCTAGACATGACCATTCCCTCTCCTTGGCACCTGACTGTTGAGAATGGCTTGCTTGAATGACCCCCAGATGCCCCTCTTTTCAACTCCAGGATCTTCACCCTGCTGGTCAGAGAACCTTGGCACCAGGAGGCCATGGGTGGACTCTAAGGAACTTCCCAGTCACACTTGGGCAACTGACTGACCTTCCAGAGCTTCAACTGACTGTGGGGCCAAAGTTCCCTTCCCTGGATATAGCACATATCAATGAACTACACAAAATGATACACTGGGGCTATTCTTAGATATTCTTTGCATGGAAAAGAGGGAAGGGAGCCAGCAAGCAAATACCCACTGGGCACTGCTAGGTACCCTTGAATGTATCATCTTGTTCAACCCTCACAAGGAGGAGCCTCTGTGCTTCCCCATTCCCTTCTCTTAGCTTCCCAACCTGCGACCCTGCTGATGTGCATTCATTCTTCTTTATCTTGACTTGTCTTCATTCTTCCATGTATTTGAATCTACCTTAATTAGTCACCTTACTTCTGTCTCTTGCTCTGGCTCTGATGAACACACCTGGGTAGTAGAGTACCGTGAGTGGCCATCCCTCTGCCTGTTTGTTTCTGTCTCCATTGGTGCTTGGGGATTAGCATTTCGGTGATCTGATGGTTATCACCAATGCACAAGCTCATACATACCTGAGAATTCTAACATTCCCCTTATAAAAAAATAGCCCTCAACTTTACAGTTAAGGAAGTATTTTCACCAAGTGGGGAACATACTTCCCCTCCTTGCTGTTAAGAGGAGGAGACAGAGGCTCACAAAATGAAGAAGCTTGTGCAACAACTGGTAACTGTGGGGACTGGGACCCAAAGCCTTAGGGCTCCAAATCCAGATTTCCTAACACAAGCCACAAGAGCTTTCTGAACCAGCATGGCCCTGGTCTAGCAATGGCCCTAGTCTTGGAGTCTTAAAGAAGCCAAACTGAGCTCCAGTGACAGCTCTTTCTCATGCAGAAGGACTTCCGAGGGACACGCAGTACATCTTCTCTGTGCCAGAGGGCATGGAAAGCAACAATGCCATCATGTCCATCAATATCATCCTGCAAAATTTAAAGGCAAAGGACAAATTTCCACTAAGCCTCAATGTGTTCAAGGTAAGGCGGCCTATACCAGGGCTTACCTTTTCAGACAGTTGTACATTCCTTGGGAAGAGAGAGCAACTGACCAGTCTGGGAGATTTCGCTGAACTATTTCAGAGATCAAACCCAAAGGGCCCTAGAGTTTTCCTGGTTCAACTCTAAAATTACAGGAAAACCTGGGCCTAACAGGAGATCAGTCTTGACTAGGCTTACAGTGGGACACGCCTCCTTCCGGTGTCACTTAGCATTTACTGGTATGTTGCAGGCTCAGACGCTTGTCAGCCATAAAGTAGTCCGGTCCAAGACCAGCTGTTGTAACAATGCAGATTCCTGGGACCATCCCAAACCTTCTGAATCTGAACAGAGTCTGAAAATCCACCTTGTAACAAGTTCCCTGGGTGCTGTTTATGTGCAGGAAAGTTTGACAGTCATTGACTAAACTTTGGGAGGAGTTTAAGCAAAAAAACAAATCCTGGCTATAAAACCAGGAGGCATGTTTTTCCCTTGTATTTAAACCAAGATCCAGTCATTGCTTGGTGGTTGGCTTGCAAGCATCTGCTTGGCCATTCATCCAAGGTCAGGTTTTCCTCCCCGCCTGGCCTTCCCTCCCCCCATGCCACTCCCAACAAGCTTCACAGTTCTTGGGGGGCCATCCTTCCACCCACAAGTCCTCACACACACCCCTGTGAGGAGGTCATCAGGGAGTTCGTTTTATAAAATATTACTTAAAAGTTGTGCAAAAGAAAATCTGATACCTCTGCTCCCACCTCCTTTACCAGTTAATTTAATGCATCCCAAAGATAAAGTGAATGGTTCTTAAATCATATAGTCCGCACCCTCTCTGGACTAAGGTAACTAAGATCCCACAACCATCAAATGCTGGGGTTCCCTGTCTTTATGGTGGGACTGAAGGTGGGACTGAGGCTTAGCAAGTAGAGGGACAAGGTCTCAGTTAATGGCAGAGCTGGGGATTGGGCACCAGCTGCCCCCAAGCCTTCAGTCAAACATAGCCATCACCTCTGTGGCTGGGGCTCTGAATTTAGCATCTCTGGGGATAATCTCCATTCCTGTTCACTGAGCTGAAGGCAACAGTCAGAACCCCAGGTCAGCCCATGTGTGCCGGGCAGGGCTCCTGGGTGCTCTGCTCACGCTGGAGCAGTCTTGAGTCCTGGCTGTAGTTCACGCCAGTGAGAAGGCTTCACAGTGATACCGTGTTTCAGAGTTTGACCTGTGTTCACATTCATTGCCTCAAAAACCATTTTTATAGATGTGGAAGTCAAAGCTGAGAGAGCATAAGCAACCTGCCCAAGATACAGCGAGGAGGTGATAGGAAAATACTTGATACCAGAACTCCTGGTCCCAGGTTCCAGCCTCTCAGCGGGGCTCAGATGCTTGCTTTCCTCATGATGCTCACAGCTTGAAGGAAAACAATGATTCCAGCTCTCGAAGGAGGAGAGCTCTTTGGGTTCTGTTCTAACCATGTTTCTACTTCCCAGTTTCGTGAAATGAATGGGAAAGAAATGGTTGGGGTTTGGCACAGTACTTCTGAGGAGTCTAAAACCTGCTGAGGCCACCAAAGAACATTGAAAGATGCAGCAGTGGACGGTTGTCATTGTCCTCACCACCAGGCACCTGAACACTCTTCCACTTGGTGGAAGGCAGGGCCTCATTTCCCACCACAGCAACCAAAGAGGCCAAATATTTTCTCTCTCCAGACCCTGGATGCAAAGGGGTAGATATGCGATCCAGGCTTATCCAATTAGGTGCTCCTCTCATGCCCACCTCCCCCATCCCCAGAATCTTGGTCATTCTGGGTTTGGACTCTTGAGGTGGGACCAGCCAAAGGATTATCCACAGCAAATCTTGGGGCCCAGCAGCATCCATGCAGGGAGATTCTGGGCATAGCTGTCCACCCTGCTTCCCACCCACTTTCCCAGCTGCATTCTCTAGACTTCTCATAAATGACTTTTGCTCATCCCACCCTGGTTGGTTTCCTTTGCTTCCAGCCAAGAATCCCAAGTGATTCAGGGGCATTCTGAGAGGACTCTCACTCTCAGAGTCTCTTCTGAGAAGAACAAAAGAAAAGGGAAGGGGAGGAATTGAGCCATCTGGTCTACCGAGCCAAGACTGAATAGTTCTCTCTCTCATGAGGAGAGAGTAGCAGGAGAGGGTAGTCCTGCTGCTCTCTCCTGATGAGGACCACTGCCCTCTTCTGATGAGAGACAGAAGCCCAGAGAGGGAAAGATGGCTGCCTCAGTGCACAACAAGGGATGCTGGTCCCATTGCCATCTATGAGTCTGGTGCCCCAGAGCTGGGCATCACAACAGACTTGTGTTACCTGATTTTCCTGAAATCTTTAGAGTTCAGGAACCTGGCACAATTGTAATCCTACCTATTTTTAAATGCTGCCAAGCCCATTTGTCTACTCTTCAGCCTGAGATGCATTTCTCAGCTGTGCTCTTTGCTAAAAAGGCACTCAGACCTGTGGTCTCCTCAGGCTCCCTGGAGGTCCCAGTGGAGCTTTCAGGATCCTGATTGAGTTAAACACAAAAGAACTGTCCAGACTATAGCAACTCAAGAGACACTTGGGTTTCTTTCACAGTTTAGCTAAGAAACACACTCTGTGCATGCCAGCCACCAGACTCTCAGAAGTCTGCAGGGCTCTGCTGGTGTTTGTGGGTATGTGCTGCTTATATGACCGCTACGTACAGCGCTCTGGTCCTGGCGTGGTCCCGTGACTCCCAACTCCTATGGGAGCACCATTCTCCTTTCATCATAACAAACAATAGGTGGGGAAAAAAGACAAGGGTGGACAAGCCATTTCATCTTCACCCCAAACCTCCCCCTTCCAAGGCTGGAACTTTCCACCTCCCTTCCGGCTCACTCTTAGTCTCCAGAGAAGTCTGTCTGGGCAAATCAAGTGGTCTGTGCACATGGTTGTGGGGGGCTGGGGGGTAGGGTCAGTAGGAGAAAAGAACCGAAACCCACACCAACAGTGGATGACAGCGTTGGGCGGTGGGTCTTAGTCACCAAGGAAGCAAAGCAGCTTGCTTTCTTCCCACCTCCACTCATTACACTGCTGGGAATATTTCCACATCCATAAAACGGGGTCTCAGGGTCTGCTTTCAGGGTTACAGGGAAGCACCTTACGCATGGCAGGGTGGCTTAAAAATGGGCCTGCATCTCAGTATTGCCTTCTGCCGCATGGAAAGACAGAATGTAGGTATTTCCCTACTCAGACACACACGTACATTCCCTACAAACTCCGGGAGGCCTAGAACAAATTCCCACCATGTTTTACAGGGGCATGGTGGAATAAAAGAAGTTTCCTCGCATTGGAGCTCCTGATGCTGGGAAACGGACATCTGATCTCCTGTCTGTCTTACCCCCACCCTATCGACATCTCACTCTTCCCTTGAGTTTATCACTGTTGCTATGAAGAGTAGCCACACGTGACTGAGCCAACAAAGCGAGACTCTCCCCCTCCATCTCCTCCCCCCTCAAGCTCCCTACAGTCTACAGCAGGTTAAGTGTTCTCTCCGCATCTCTGCACGGGGAATGAGTAATGCTCCCATTCCGTGGGGTGTGCAGGGAACAGGCTGACCGTAGGAAGGAGGAACACAGGGCCCGGAGCCGGGCTGCTGGAATCTGCTTACCTTTGTGTTTTGGTTTAGGCTCCTGAACCTGCCTTTCTTTTTCTTCCCTGCAGGTCGACCCCCAGGTATGACTCAGCGCCTTCTCGCGCCTGTGTTCCTGTGTGTTGTTAAACCTCCACGCCCCTTCCAACACCCGTATCTTCAGCACATTCCTTGCTATTCCGTGGCTGCAAATTTAGTCTTGGTCTGTCTGTAACTGATACAGACTTAGAATCTCCAAACAGATCAACCATGCAGGACATATTTTTGCTGTCCTGGTCAAAAAGTTGGACCCCTCGAGCTGTTCTTTGGTTTGAAATCTAAGAGGGGCTGCAACCAAGAAACCATCCTCGAGAATTTGGCCTCTGATAGATAAGACCAATGCGGGCAGTTCTTTCCTCTTTAAGAAACAGAGCTAATGGCATCTTGGGGGGACGTTAGCCTCCTATTCTTGGTGAGCCCCCGAATCCACCACAAACAGGGGGAGTCCTCTGCAAATGTACCTGCAGGCCATAGCTAGCTTCTCTTCCAACCAAATTGCCACCTCTCCTGAGCTGGTATTCTCGACATTGGTACAGGGTGATTTAAGAGTAAGGATGAAGGACAGATGTACTTCCAGGCACACAGACCAGTTAAATGGATGTGGGCTCTGCGGGGCTATGGCTGCCAGGTGAAGTGGGTGTGCCTGGGGACCAAAGATGTAGCTGCAGCCAACAGGTGGTACCCATAGCATGCTTCTGGTCCAGGGAAGCTCCTCTAGGCCTTTCCAGGGGTGCCCCAATAGATAGACAGAGGCCAGGACAGGGGTTCTCTAAGCAGGAATTCAGAAGCCCAGGAAGAAACTGGGTAGCAAGGCAGCCACTGACACCAGTGGCCCTGCCACAGAGCTGGGTTCAGGATCTGATCTTTATTTCCAGCACCCGGGTCATGGGAATAGAACTTCTGGAAGGGCTTCGAGGGAGGCACCGGGTGCAAGGAACAAATCTCCAGAGCTAGAGGGAGGAGTGGGAATTTGACCCAGGAAAAGGCACAAGCCCCATCCCTAGAACTACAGGGTCAAGTCGGTGTGCAAATAGGCCTGCAGTAATTGGATGCTGGGTCTCTGTGCGCTAGACCAAGAGCCTCCCATCGTGGCACATACTCACACTTTTGCCTGCCACTGAGCAAGCCTGCTCTGGGGGATAGGGAGCCCGGACAAGGCTGCAGAAGTCCAATGGAGAGAGGAGGGCAGGAGAGCAGGGAAGCAGGGGAATTCTGGATTGTAGGAGGCCCACACTCTTCTGTACATAGTGCCTCCCCATGTGCACATGCGTGTGCTCACGCACACACATACCCAGAGCCACAGGACAGTGCTGGCTTTCTGGAGAGGAATCATTCCCATCATTGCTTTTGCCAGAAGGGCTCACACAACTCAGACTCCAAACCTGCTGGGGTCACTGTTAGCATCAGCAAAATCACCTTGGAGGCTGCACCCAGCCCTTGCTGCCTTCGTGGGACAGTGACGGGTCTCCTGTCTCATCTTGTAGACCAGCCCTGCTCCCACCCCCTGAAAAGAAACTCCCCCTTTCTCCCTGTTGCTCCCCAAGGCACAGCTCACAAATAATCATTTCACGCTGCGTAACCACTCCAAATGGAATCCCCGTGCTCGATTGTATTGGGGAAAATTTATTTAGTAAGGGGTTTTCATTATGTAATATGTATGTGACATCTGGTAATGGGAACTGCATTATATTTATTGTTTTGTCTCTAAGAAAATATTGAAAGAAAAGGAAAATGATCAGAGCCTATTATTCTCCAACGAGAAGGAATTCCAGGGCTCTGCTGGGAAGACAAAATGGAGAGAATGAAGGAGTCCAGCTCTGCAGAGCTACACAGTCCAAAGGGTCCTGTAGAAGGTTCAGGAGAGAAGGGACATCAGGGGCTCCAGAAGTAATTCAGTTTTGGGACAATTTCCTTGGTTTCCACGGAAGTCTTTATAAGCAGAGAGAGGAAACCCCCAAACCCAGGATTCTGTGGGATTTAATGAGATAAAACCATGTACCATATTTTTTTCTGCATTCATTGTGGTGTTAACATCTATATTAAATAATAGTCTGAATTTTGTGGCATTCCGAAAATCCAGGTAAGCAGTGTCTCCCTTTTCAGGGCCTGTAATGCAGTTTTGGTGAATGGAGAGAGGTCTGGAAGGTGGTGGGTCTCTCTTGGGGTCTGGGTCCACACAACCCATGGGGCTTTCTAACCATCTTCATGTTTTCCTCCAGTTCCAGCACTACCAGAAGTTGCCACCCACCTTCTTTTCTAAATTCAGAAATGCTATCGAGGGCATAGGTTCCAAAACCAGGGGCTGCCTCACTAAGCGCTTCAGTCTGAGCCCTGGGACCTACGTGGCGGTCACTTCTGCCCACAGTGAAGCCATTGAGTTTTTGCTCCGAATCTTCCTGAAAATGCCAGATGGTGACAGGTACAGAAACTCTGGGCTTCTAAATGTTTGATTTCGCTTAATTTTATAAAAACCCATGGCATCATCTTGGGAAGCAGGTACTGTGTCAGCAGGAGACATGGCACGGGCCTCGTTTGCAAGAAGCTCACCACGAAGGGTGGCGAGAGAGTCTGACCCAACAAGGAGACCATGAACAGGATGGGGCCATTGCTCGGTCGAAGTGCAGAGTTACATGGGAGGACAGAGGAGAGGGACCCACCTTGGGCAAGAGGGATTGAGGAACACCTCTTGGAGACAATGACATTTGAGCTAGTCCTTGATAGAAAATGTAGTCTGATGTTTAAAGGAAAAGGTAGTGCAGGTAGAAGAAAAAAGCATGAGCAGAAGCAGGGACGGGGGTGAGCCCAGGGCCTGTTGAAGTATAGGCAACATCAGCCACATGCACAGGAAGGTTGTCCATGGCGGTCATGGCAGTTGTCTGAAATGTGACCAGAGCAGGGGCGGGGTGTATCCAGGAGACAGTGAAATATGGGCCTGAAAGACAGAGTCCAGTGGTGAGGAGTCTTTAGTGCTAAGTCAGTGGTCAAGACTGGGGTCAGCAGGTACACATCCTGCTGGGCACCTTAGCCCCTGTTGGGCATGAGGCAGACATCGCAGCAGTCACGGCCATCTTTCCAACTGAGCAGGGACGGTGCCTCTGTCCAGTCTGCCAGATAGCCACTGCTCCACCAAAGTTGGAACATAAGACTAAGCTTATCTGCTGTCTCGGCAGTGGGGGTCACTGTACGTGTGTATCCGGTTGTGCAAAGAACCGTTTGCTAAACGGTTTGCAGACCCGATGATGGCCGGTCAAAAGACTGGACACGTGGTGATGGTGCTGAGCTGTCTGCTGTCATGGCTGCCCCCTTCACATCCCTCTGTGCTGAGGGCCCTTCCCTCAGATCCTTGGTGTAAATGTCCAATGCCACCCTAGGTTGTCCTCCACTGCAGTCTTCCTTTAAATAGTGAGTCATTCATCCTTGTCCTACTGTTTCCCTGCTTTTCTAGGAACCTGGACAGCAATTTCAACCTTATGGCACTAAAGGTGGGTATGTGAAGGTTTGGCTGGAAGGCTTCATTGGCTGCATCCTATCCCCAAGAACTTCCGTCTCCTTCTAACCTCACTGACCGATGAAAATAGAGACACCATAATGAGCTAATGAGGCTCCAAGGGGCAGGCCAGAGTGGAAAAGACTGAGCCTCCAAGGTCAAGCTGGAAACAGTCATCTTCTTTCCACAAGTTTTGGTGTTCTCATTCCCCTACAAGTTTTATCTGATTGCTGGAGGAAGCCCCTGTCTCAGATCCAGGTGTGGGGAATGGTTCTCGTGCCTTCGTTGCACCAGACAGATAGCTTGTTTCCCCATAAATTTGATATTGACTATTTTTCCTTTGATCCAGGGGAGTCTTCTGAAAAATAGCTCCCAGGAAAGCATCTTCTACAAATACGCTCAACAGGTACAGTACCTAGCACGGGGACAAGTGATGGAGGGACACCAGGCCCTTCTCAGGATACAGAGAAGAAAAGTGACTTGGTGGGTCATTTTATCAGCCTCTCTCCCTGAATGTCTCCAGAACTGATCTGGCTTCCAAACACTGGAGAGAAGTGGCACCCTAGCTGGGTGACATCCGGGCTGGAAAGCAGACCTTGGTGAGGGTGGGGGTCTTGCCAGGGGTGGTGGTATTTTGAAATCTTTAAACAAGTAATTGTCAATACCCGATGAAATCTTCCTTCTGCTCTGCCACCTTCCTTGGCATCATTCCTCCCAGGAGCTAGCCAGCTCCAGAAAGCACCAACGGTGTTTTTCCTGCCAAGCCACCTATGTGCACGGAGGATTTTCTTAATGATTTAATAAACCGTTTTAAAGAACTCCTTGACGTGCCAGGATAAAAGCGGCTGCCAAGGGCTCTGCACGATGGGCCTTTTGCCATTAATAGTCATGTTGGTTTGGGAAGAGCAAAGTGATAGATAGATGTGGCCATGTGTATGATGCCAGTCTTGCGCCAGGCAGAGGCCAAGGACAGGAAGGATGCCAGTCATTCAGAGGGATAATGGGGTAACTAGGAGGCAGCTTAAAAGGGAATTATTCAGGAAGCCTGAGCCCAGAGGGAAAAACAAGGAGAAATGAAGAATGTGCCTGTCGTGAGGGGAATATGTTTTAAGGAACCGCTCAATATGGACCTCCTTGACATCAATATGGGCCCAGGATTCAGGTCCACACCTGGGCTGATTCAGAAGACACTTCACTTGATGCAAAACAAGATCTGCCCAGATGATCATCCCCAGTCTTTGAGCTCCCAAAGCCGGGATGGCATCATATGCATTCCTTGTCCCCAATATCTGTCATTGTCCTTGGCCCAGAGAAGGTGCTCAGTCAATCTGTGTTGAATTAAGACAGATTAGCTTCCCCAGAGCAGATGTCCAAGCTAAGTTTACTGCCCAAGGCAATCAGCAGGACCTAATTAGGATACCTGAGACCAGACTTCCTTCAGGGGCAGATGGCAAAGTCCTTGGCATGTTTCAGGCACCTGAACATCTGAAATGAATAATATAATTTGTCATATGACAAATGGTCCAGATTCCCTCTAATCAGGGTTTTTCCAAACAACCACCAAATGTCTCCTCGTAGAGGGTAACTGGTAGCCCAGATGGGGCCTTTGTAGGAATTAAAATAAAAGACACGGGCAGCTTTGCAGCAAGGTGCACAGCTCAGAATTGGAATAGACTGGAATGCACCCCCTTCCCACTCCCTGGCTGAGCACCCCTGAACAGGGCCCAGCTGGCATCGTTCAGCACAATCTGTGAACTACCCTCAGAGGCTGTATCCTCAAAGGAAAGTTGAAAGCAAATGCTGGTGTGTGCACCCACTCAGTCCTGTCTCCTGATCTCTTGTATCTGTTTAGCCTTAAGGCACTGCGATGAGGTGCTACCACTGCCATCAGTTACCTTCATCAGCCATGACAGTGGTGACGGTCCTATAACCCGGGCTTTGCCTGGGAGAAAGGAAGAACATGTTCAGCCTCTGAGCCGAGTCATGCCCGTCTATCCATTTTCCCAAAGGGCAAACGTACCAAATACCTAGGACGTTCCCAGTTCCATGCTAAGCTTTGGGAACACAAAGCATCAGTCCTCCAGGATCTTATGTTAACGTGGTGGAGAGAGATGGGCAATTCTTTGGGTAGTTGCTTAAGGCAGTCTTCATCTCCGTTCCTAACCTCATCTCCTCAGACATTTTGGTCCAGGTCAGGGAGTGTCCTAGGATGGAGAGACATGCAGAAGGAAGGAGACATGGTCCATGCCCAAAGCTACTTGTATTCTAGGAGGTGACTCCACATAAGTTAGAGTTCCTTGCCAACTGCTCTGCAGGTTGGGTGCCATGATTCTTTTGAGGAAAAAACTCTGTCAATAGTGGACACACAATGCTGGCTTTCCTGACATAACCCAGCCAGTGGGATGTTAGAGGGATGACCTGAGGGCGGATTTCAAACACTGGCCACATGTTCTTCTCAGGGATGTTCAAAGGGGTCCTCCCCAGAGGACAGGCTGAGGGACGGCTTTTGCTTTCAGTGAGGTGGTGAGGCCACCCCTGGGGACAGCGTGTCTGTGGGTCTATGCAATGTGTGTTCTCAGAAAAACCCAAAAAGACCCCTTCTTCCACCTGACCCAGCCCTGCTCTGCTAATCCACCTGCTGAGGGACCTCACTCTGGCTCCTTCTCCCATGGGGAGCCCTCCCGGAGTGCAGATGGCACATCACCCTTCAGCTCTCTCCGGCCTGTGTGGGAGAAACGGCCGCGCAGCACAGCTCGGCTTCTCTGTGAGATCATCGTGGAAGGCGCTTCTCCACCAGACTGCTCAGTGTCCCTAGGAGAAAACTGAATGCAGTTCACCACTTCAGAAGATCAGGCTGGGAAAAGTTTCTCTCCCCTCAGCCTCCATTGCTTCCTGTTTCTTTCTTTCTTTCTTTCTTTCTTTCTTTCTTTCTTTCTTTCTTTCTTTCTTTCTTTCTTTCTTTTAAGATTTTATTTATTTATTTGGCAGACAGAGATCACAAGGAGGCAGAGAGGCAGGTAGGCAGAGAGAGAGAGGAGGAAGCAGGCTCCTTACCCAGCAGAAAACCTGATGCAGGGCTCGATCCCAGAACCCTGGGATCATGACCTGAGCCGAAGGCAGAGGCTTTAACCCACTGAGCCGCCCAGGCGCCCCTACTTCCTGTTTCCAATCCAAGGAGACCCTTGTCTTCCTCTTTGCCTAGTGGCTAGGAAGGCTCATGAGAAGTAATGTTCTCAGAGCAGCTCCTCTGCGCCGAGATTTCTGACACTTTCATCTCCTCTGTGCACGCACGTACGCACATGCCAGTGCTCACACTCACACACTGAGTAGTCCTATTTTCTCTCCATCTCTTCCTGGAAGCAGACGGGAAAACACGCCTGCGGGGATGAATGGATTCCTTCAACAACCCTTGTCCTGAGGGGTTCCCAAGTGCCAGGTGTGGTGGGGAGGAGGCAACTGCTGCTTTCACTCCAATAATGAAGGAAGAGAGAAAGGGGAGGCGACCCACGGGTGGTATCAAATGTCAGGAGCAATGAGCACTGCAGACATTCATGACCCAGAGCAACTGGGAAAGGCTTCATGGCAGGCTTGATGGGCACGGGGTGGGAACCGAGGGCTTGGAAGTCTGAGTGCTTCTCTAGCGTAAGGCAGGTGTGCCGCTCAGCTCCTGGGCACTGAGGGGGGTTCCTGTCTTCCTCTCTCGTTTGGATCAGGGACTGAACCTGGATGCCACCCAGCTTCAGAGCCTTCTCAACCAGGAGCTCCTGACAGGTAAGGTCAGACCCCACAAGCCCACTGTCCCCACCCTCCTCCCACTGCTGAACCAGTCCAGTGTCACCCCCGCCCCCAACATTTCCATCCTTCCTGTTCCCCAGGAACTCCGGGGCATACGTTCTCTCTGGATGAGTGCCGGAGCATCGTGGCTCTGATGGACGTATCCTTTGTTGTGCCCCCTCCGCTATTCTGGCAGCTCTAAGGGTCCGTCTGCTCTTTGGGCTGCCCTGGGGGGTCTCATTAGGACGTTAGGAATGCTTTTCGCTTTGCAGTGTTTTCTCTTCTTCAGTTCTAAGGGCTTGGCTGGCAGAAAAGCCTGGGTTCCTGCCTATTCTATGCTAACTCACTGCCTCTCCCAAACAACCACAGCAACAATGTCAATGGTTAGCACTTATCAAGCGTCGTGGCATGCCAAGACTAGATCCATCGCATGGAAAGAGAGAGAGGAGTTTGGAGAGCCTACGCAGCCTGTTTAGTAATCCCACAGCCTGCCTGAAGTTGTGCCTGGTTTTGAAGAGTTTACAGCCTCCCAGTCTGTGTTCTAACCTCATTCCGCAGGGCCTCCCAGCAGCACCAGTGGGGGCCGATTTCCTCCCACCCCTCCCCTTACCCTGGGGGAGTCTTCCTAAAATCCCTTGTTCAATGAGCCCCAATTCAGTAAAGAGAACAACCCCCAGAACTTGGAGAAAACGCCTTGGTCTACACAGTACCCCGTTAGCGCTGCCATGTCACGGCTACAGTCACAGCTGTCCTTGGGCACCAGCAGCTGGGCTGGGGATTAAACCCAGGGCTCCTGACCCTGGTCCTGACGGCCGCCTTCCCCTCAGTGGGCCTACTGGGCCTCCCTGGAGTGAGATGGATCCCAGCTCCTTCACTCTTAACAAGACCCGGTCGAGAATGAGGGGCCGCCGTTGTTGAACAAGAGCCCTTCTTGCTGAAATCCTAAATCAAGCCCTGTGTCTGCTGGCCCTGGTTTGGAGTCACCTGGAGACACTGCCTGTCCCCCACAAATGAAGCAAAAGGGCCCTGCGGCCCTGCACAGCCCAGGGCAGCTCACCCTGGGGGACATGGTGTCTGCCAGAGCCCTGCAAAGCAGACAGGTCTGCTCTGCTCTCCCTCTGCCCACCCACTGCTCCCCTCCAGCAACTTACAGAGAGATGCTTTTCCTGGCATTAGCTCTGTATAAACCCATCCCCCTGCTATGGGGTGGCCAGGGCTGGCTCTAACGGGTTCCCTCCACTCATCTGCACCCTCGTGCTGCTTCAGGGGTTGCAGGGACCCCCGTATGCTCCTCCGCGTTCCCCTCTGCCTGGGGCCCCCTCCAGCCAGTGCAGGCTGTGTTCCAGGGTCTCTCTTCCCTTGGTGCATGTGATGCCGGCCTCCTTTTCTCAGGGCTTCTTTCTTCTTCCAATTTGTCCATTTTCCTCTGCAAAATGAAGCTAAGCCGGGCCCTTGCAGACACAGTGGGGGCCGGCTGGGGTGGGGCCACACCCAGGTGACAGCGGGCTGATGGTTGACCTGACCTGAGGTGCTACTAGCTGATGGCGGGACTTCTCCTGGCGCCGTGGGCGGGGCCTTGCTCACCTCTGTGCACTTGCGATGTGCACGTCCACTCTTAACTCCCCACCAGCTGAAAGTGAACGGGCGGCTTGAGCAAGAGGAGTTTGCAAGGCTGTGGGGCCGGCTCATCCACTGCCAGGTACCGGCATGTTCTCTTTGTTTCCCATTTGGCAAATACCTACGGGGTGCCCGACCTGCAGAGGGTTGGGGGGTGCGAAAGAAGAGCTACCCAGCCCTGCCCTCAGGCCTCACATTTTGTTCGGGGAGACTGCATGCCCCACTAGAAGACACGAGGTGATGCCTGAGCAAGTGGCAGGGTGAAGGGTGCTCTAGGAGGTGGAAGGAGAGAGGGTCACCATGGGTGGCAGCTAAGACCGCCCACCAGAATTCCCTCCCCCAGTCCCCCGCTCCCAGCTCCCTGTCCCCGAGACATTCTCCCAGTGCACCCTTTCGTCTCATTCCCTTCCTGTCCACCGGCCAGACGCAACAAGATCTCACATGTGGCCTGTGGCCTCAGTGTGGCTTCCCTATTGTTCTCAGGACAAGGGCTAAGAGCTGTCCCTGGAGTTGGGACCCTGCCTTGGGGTCCAGGAGGCGCCCTTGGACTCCTCCCACTCACTCCTTCCGCCCCAGCTGGGAGGCTCAGAGTCCGGCCAGGACCGACCCCCTTGACTGTCCAGTCTCAGGAATCTCTTCATGGGGAGGCTCACCTGCCCCCAGGCCCGGTTATATCCCCCTGAACCCACAATAGTAAGGTGTTCTTGTGGGGCATTTCAGGAATTATCCCCTAGTTCCTGACTTGGGGGACACACAGGGCACTGTAATGGCTGATATGGCCCCCCTCCCCCATTAGACTGCAGAGCAGGGACACCCTCGTGTTCCTCTGCTTCCCTCAGTGCCTTTCTTAGTGCCTTGTACACAGCAGGCACTCATAAATGTCCAACGAATGACCAAACTAATGAATTACTAATGAGTGAGTGATTCCCAATTGAGGTCTTTCCATATACTCACCAAAAGCCAAATCAGGCCAGAAAACAATCTTGGGCTGCTATTTCACAGTAATCGCTGCCTCCACGGGCCTGGATCGCACTCCTGCTGGGGGTATTTTGCCTTGAAACAGCTCCTGTGGGGCGGCTGAGCAGAGACCAAGACAGGGAGTCCGAGTGCAGTCGTGGAGCAGCTGCATGCTTCCTCCCCACAAGTCACCTGCCCGAGCTTCTGTTTCTCACCCCGGAAGGGCAGGGCCGATCAGGGCTTTGGTGAGAAGCAGGGAGAGGTCGGAAAGTCCAGGGTGCACGAAGTCACTTGCCCACGGTGGCACAGCTGATAGCCAATGCTTATTTAAACCCACCGTTCTGGTTGCAAATTCTGTGCTTTTAACCACCACCGTATACAAAGTCTTGAGAGAGTTCTACACCTCCCAGACGCAGCAAGCGGCCATGCGTCAGGAGCCCAGTCTGGGGGATGGGGAAGGACAGAAAGGGGGTTGGGAGAGAGGCCCACAGCCCCACAGCTCCAGAGAGGGCAGCCATTGTGGTCGGCCTTACCAGGCAGCGCCCACTGCTACCTCCCCTGGTCCTTAGATGAGCTGCTTTGAGCTGGGTCCCCTCAAAGTTTATTGAAACAGTCTCCGGGGATGGGAAAGGGATTTCCAGGATCTCTCCCCAGGATGTCCTCTTTAAGGTGGGTGAGAGCACTCATTTGAACTTCTTACTTCCTTTCTTGAATCAGAGAGTTTTCCAGAACAACCAGAATCACTCTGGAGTTTTCCTGAGTTTGGATTTGTGGAAGGCTGTAAGGGATGCAGGTAAATCAGGGGCCCCTCAGAGCTGTCATGATTGGGGCCGCGGTGATGGAGGGGTGTGTGTGAGAGAAAGAGCACACCCCTTGCATGCCATATGCAAGACTGCTGCAGGGGGGCTGAGGGTCAGGAGAGAACAGAGTTCCTGTGGCCTCCCCTGGCTTACACCAGCCTCTGCGGGCCTCGGGGCTCACGACTCAACCTTTGTCCTCCCCAACCTGAGTTCTCATGTGCCGGTCAATTTTCCCAATTGCATTTTGTCTCCAAACAGCTCTGTGCTAAAATGACCCCACATAATTGATGATCCCACATAATTGACCCCTTCCAGAGCTCGAGCTGGCCTTCGAGACTCTTCCATCTCAACCTCTGGGCTGTCGGGGTTAAAGCCCTATGAGCAGGTGGATGCACTGTCCTCCCAGAGGTTGGAGTTAAAGTGAAATCTGTCTGCTTCAAGAAGGCCAGAGCTTTCAGTCCGAGCTTTCAATCCTCGGATGATGACAAGGATACACCATAGGCTGCCTAAGAGCTTCAGGGTTCAGGGAGAACTTGCACTCCTGTCTTCTCACTTGATCGTCTCCACTGCCCTGTGATCAGGAGTCGTGATCTGCCCTGTCCCAGTGGGGGAAATGGATCACAAAAAAGGTTAAGTCAGAAAATTGCCGCCTTCCTTGAGAAAACGTAAGCTCAGGTTCCCCCAGGTAAATGCTGGAAGGAGAGACTCCACGGCTCTCCCTCCCGCGGGGCCCCAGCCTGGAGAGCAGGGAGAAGCATCTGTCCTTAGCACCTGTCCTCCCCTTAATTCTTCCTGCCCGAGAGCAGTGGTTCTCAAACTTGAGTGGGCAATGGAATTCCCTGGAAGTTTGTTCAAGCACAGCTTGTGAAAACACCTTATCCCTCATTGAAAACTTCTGATCCAGGAGGGCTTGGGTAGGGCTCAAGAATCTGTAGTTCTAAGAGGTTTCTACGTGAGGCCGAAGCTCTTCGTCTGGGGACCACACTTGGAGAACACCTGGATAGCTACAGAAAAAAATGAAATTTTATAAGAGACCACACTGGTGACACCAGAATAAGAAAAGGCAGACAGATAGAAATGGCTGGGATCCAACTAAAATGTCTTCAGGGACCAAGCAGATAACTGAATGGGGCAGTGGAGGTACTGTAAGAAAAGAGGGTGATTTCTGCATATGGCGAGCCGGGGAGCGCAAGGTCTAATGGCATTCGAATTCCCATTTTATTAATGCTGGAGAACGGGCCGCCAGGCTCACCCCATTGATGGATGGTTTGGCTTACAAGGTTCTCCTGTCCCCCAAAAGCTTATAGGCACAGCCGTTTGCCAGTTTGCTGCTGTCGCTATGGGGTTGGTGCCTCCCGGAGCTCATAATTAGACATACAAGACAACCAGGCCCAAAAAGAGCAAGGTGCCTGTGTCTCGCCCACCTGTGGCCATCTTCTGACTGTGGTCACCTCCTGAAGGTCCAGCCTCTTTCCTGCTCCACTCCAACTTAGGACGGAATCTCCCACTTCTAGGGACCACACTTGCTCACACTAGGAGTGTTCACACCTGAGACCCACAGGTAGTCATGGGGTCAGGGAACAAGGTGGTTTCACAAGGTCACTGATCAAGAGAGAGGCCTGATGGAGGCAGGGCTGGGAGCAAACTCCTGCTTTGAGTCTCTGGAGTTGGTCTCTGGCCAAACTCCAGAACAATGTCACCGGGGCCCAGCAGCCAAGAAGGGGGCAACTGGAGAATTAACAAAAACACGAACTGAAGTGAACTAGCCTCTGAGCCAGACAGAATAGGAAACAGTGGTGGAAGGCCACCACCCCGGGTGGCTTCTTAGACTTTGCATGTGAGAGGACAGGACCTGCTCCAGCCTCCTCCCACTCACTAACCCACCCCGTGGTCCAGACTTCCTTGCAGGGATCTCCGTCAGCAACGAGCTGCTGGACCTCATAACCCTCCGGTACAGTGACAACAGCGGCAGGATCAGCTTCCCTAGCCTGGTCTGCCTCCTGTTGCGACTTGAAGCCATGGCAAGTAAGTGTCACCTGGGTGACATCCTGGAGACCATCATAGTGACCAAGAAACACTGTAGAAGATCAGGAATGCACTACTGCCCCAGGCCTAGACCAGGCCTCCGTAACAGAGTGGGCTGGAGTCTTGCATGAGGAGCCCTTGCTCCATGACACAGAGCCAACATTAGCCTGCGTAATGGTAGACTCCGTCTGTGTCCCATGCGTCCCTTCTGTACTCTTTCTGTCCAGGACAGTCCCCTATCCCAGGCTCTCATTTCCTCATCACCTTATTTAGTGCCTATTTCAGGAACAAGGTTCATTTAACTCACTGTGTCCCCTCTCCATGTTGTTTATAGCTTAAACCTACACTATAGTCTTGCAATGAATGCGGTCTCTGCTGAAGGAATTAACGCACAAGTGATAGATGGGGGCAGGGGGAGGGGGCTTCCCCAAAGCTCCAGAAATTCTACTATGTAGGTCAGATATTTGGACAGTTCTTAGAGCCACCCCGCCCTTTATTTTTCAAGAAAATCCTATGTGAAACCCCAAGCCATAATATAGCTCAATAGTTGTGTTTGGGGTAGAAGTGGCATCTGGCCTCATCCTGATCTCTATCCCATCACTGGCATGGTGCACCACTGTAAATCCCACAGCTCTGAGCCAGGCAGTTAAGGAAGACTGAGAGACCAGAGCCCTGGGAGCATAAGAGAGAAGGGTGAGGCATAAACCTCCAGAGAATTCTCTGTTGGACAAGGGAGGTTCTCCAAAGGGTGCCCATATAATACTTTATAAGACAGGCCCATACATCCCCTCAGCCATGTGTGGAAGGGTGAAGAGCGCAAGGGCACGAGAAGAGGGAGAGGCGTGTGTGGGCCGGAGCAGTCACAGAGAGCTGTCCCTCAGGGGTGGAGTTGGCTGGGATGAGACAAAGAGGGAGAGAGAGAAAGTGCTTTACATAGAGTCGCCATATTTGCTTTTATCTCCCTTGACCTATCCTGGTTCCTCTCCTCCTCTTTAGAGACTTTCCAGAACCTCTCCAAGGATGGGAAAGGACTGTACCTGACAGAAATGGAGGTGAGGTGCCTTCCCTTCCCAGAGTTGGGGCACAGTCCCAGGCCACCTCTCCTCTCCTGATTCCAGGGGGCATTTTTCTCCCTGAGGATATTGGCTGGTCTGTCAGAGGCCAGCCAAGCTGCCGGCCCGGCTGCCTCCAATTACTGCCTTTATATATTACGGGCTGCCAAGGCTGCTTTAGGATCTTGGCAGACAGATTTTATTTTTTTCCAATAGCTTAATAAAGCAGAGGATTATGTGGGCGTCATAAATCCAAGAGGGAACTGAGGAACACCTGCTGAGCTCACTGTGCATTAAACTTACTCCCCGTGAGCTTTAAAGAGAGCCTCCTGGCCTAGCCAGCTGGTCGACCTCAGCTATCCTTCTCACTGTCTAGCTCCTCAGGGAGTAGCAAAAGATAGGTTGCAATGGGGGCTTCAGACCCCCTGCTGGGTTGGAATTAGCTGGAAAGTTTTGATGAGACTAGACTGAGGTCTTTCAAGAAAGGGGGTACCATTTGCCCTGCTCTGTATTAAGCAAACAAGTTTTAAGCTATGTCATAATGATGATGTTTATTTCTCAGTGGATGAACCTGGTCATGTACAACTGAAGCAAGGAGTAGAGAAGACCCCAGAGTCCAGGTAAGACATGGCAGCTCTAGAATCGTTTCCTTCTAGCACAACTCCTTGTCTCCTCTAGGAACTGCACACAAGACTCTTTCCTTGGGAGGGGCCTGCCTAGAGATTACAGAGCCCTTATCTGTGTGAGCCAAGGCTAACTGCTCAGGGCCCCTGAATTTCAAGGCCAATGGTGCAGGCTTCATCCAAACCATGGGTGGAATGACCAGGGGACACTGATGAAAAAGTGTGGCCCGAAAGTCATGAGTGAGGGATTTAGAACTCTTATTTATTAATTCATTTATTTTTTTAATTAAACTATGATTGACATTTAATAATGTATTCATTTTAGGTATACAATATAATGATGGGATATATATATATATATATATATATTATGGAGTGATTACCACAAAAGGCTTAGGAAACATCTATCACACACAGTGACACATTTTTTCCCTTTGTGATGAGAACTTTTGTAATTTACTCTCTCAGTAACTTTCAAATACATGTACAATACAGTATTGTTAACTATAGCCATAGTGCGGTCTATTCTATCCCCAAGACTTAATTATCTTATAACTGGAAGTTTGTACCTTTGGACCATCTTCCCCCATTTGGCCTACCACCCCACCCTCCACTCCCAGCAACCATCAATCTGTTCTCTGTATCTCTGAGTTTTGTTTTGTTTTTAGATTCCACATATAAGTAAGATCATACAGTATTTTTCTTTCTCTGATTTACTTCACTTTACATAATGCCCTCAGGGGCCCTCCATGTTGTCACAAATGGCAAAAATGTCCTTTTCTATGGCTTAGTAATATTCCTTCATATATAAAATACGTTTTCATTATCCATCCGTTTACTGATGGTCACTTAGGTTCTTTCCTTGTCTTGGCTGTTGTAAGTAATGAACATGGGATGCACATATCTCTTTGAGTCAGTGCTTTTGTTTCTTTCAATAAATACCCAGAAGTAGTTTCTGGATCATATGATAGTTCTACTGTTAATATTTTGAGGAAACTCTATATTACTTTCCAGAGTGGCTGCACCAATTTACATTCCCACCAACAGTGCACAAAGAGTCCCTTTTCTTCACCTCCTCACCAACACATGCTATCTCTTGTCTTTTCTAAAATGGCCATTCTAACAGGTGTGAAGTGGTATCTCATTGTGGCTTGGATTTGTACATCCCTGATGACTAATGATGTTCCGCACCTTTTCATATACCTGTGAGCCATTTGTGTGCATTCTTCGGAAAAAATGTCTATCAGTCTTAGTTGATTATTTTTCCTTTGTCACTTTTGCTTTTGGTGTCAAATCCAAAAATCATTGCCACTTTCCATGTCAAGCCACAATCCATGTCAAGGAGCTTACCCCTAAAGTTTTCTTCTAAGAGTTTTATGGTTTCAGGTCTTACATTCAAGTCTTGAATCCTTTTGTAGTTGATGTTTGTATATGGTGTAAAAGAGTAGGCCAGTTTCATTCTAGAATTTTTTTATTTGAAATTCCAAAGAGGAAAGGCAATCACTCATCAGAGGAAAGGCTAATGTGTGGAACAACAGAAATGACCAGAGCCTGGGGAGAGGAGAGCTGGGTCCAGCCTCAGCTCCACCATTGCCTCACTCTGCAGCTGTGCACACATCTGTAGCCGTCAGCATCTGTAAATCTAGCGTGAGTGTGCTGAAAAAATGCCCATGTCGCATTTCTTCTACATGTTTATTTTCAGGGAATAGACCCCAGAGATACATAGCCCATACCCCATGCTACTATAGCAGAAGCCCCAACAGTCTGCTGGAATCTTCCAGGACTGGGGTGCTCAATATTTTGTGCTCCTCATGGTTGGACATTTCTGGGTGTTAGGTATTATTTTATCAAGAGACAACAATCTACTTCCCTCAAACTTTCCACCCATGCATCAAGCTCTACTCTGGACCACTGCAGAAAAAAGACTGGGCAAGCCAGACCTTCACATCCTTGCAGATAGCTCTGCTGCCTCACTGAGGCCTCTCTTTTTACTTATTCCTGATGATTTTCATCTGAAACATACTGGTGACCATGTCTATATGCCAATGTCCCTTTGAAATACATAGTTCTCCTAGGCAGCCGTCCTGTGATCAACATATTTGGGGACCCTATAATTTTTATAAACAGCATTTCTTTAATCTCCCAACTCTGTACCTTGAAATCAAGAGACAATCTCTCCATAAAGAAATATTTTAGCATAAATATTTCCTTGATGCTTCTTAATGAACACAAGTTAACATACCTGGCAGAGATCAAAGTTATTTAGACTTACCTGTATTTTCATGAATTCCCCTTTCATTTCTTTCTAAAAATAGGGCATGTGAATATTTCCCATTTTCGGTCTGCCTAATTCCTATTCTAATCTGCATGATTTCTAATGTCAGGAATGATTCTTCAATTGTATCTTCGAGCTAATTCAACATGCAGGACCTAAAGTTTGAACTTTTGAAATAACTGGACTTTTTCTCATTACCCTTCCACCTACACAGGGTCCCAAGTCCCTCTTAACCAATCTTTCTGTACTTCCTATTCTGAACATTGTGTAAGAAAGTATAATATAAGATGTATGGTTATGTGTGCTTCAGTCTCTTTCACTAATGTCTATCATCATCCTTAAGAGTGTTCCCTTGTCTTCCTCATTAATCATGGTCCTCTGACATCATACTCTTAAAGTAGATCTAGTCACTCTTGGCAGGTGGGTTGCTGTGCAGAACTGGAGGCACGAGGGTGAAGAAGTTCTGCCTCCAAATCTACAAACTCTCTTTCATCTATAACCATCTCCCACCTTCCTCCTGTTATGCTAGAGGGCATATGTCTCTGAGGATGTTCTGGATCTCATTATCTCCCCCCTTCACAAGGACCCAATAGAATGAAATCTCTCCTCTGTGTTCAATATTAAATCAATCTCTCTCTCTCTCTCTCTCTCTCTCTCTCTCTCTCTCATTCCTGGAGTCATCCAATTCCCACTGAAACATGCTTATCTCTTAAATTTCTTCCATCTCCTATTCCCTTCCAGCCACAACGCCATCTTCTCCCTTTACAGCCAAACTTCATAAAAGAGCTCATTGTCTCCACATCCTCACCTCCCACGTTCCCTTCAAACTACTTCAATTTAGATTTTTCAGACACCGTCTCTCTCCCTGACTTTGCACTGGCTCCCTATCTGATTTTCCTATATCCACCCACTTCACTCGAGTCAATTTCCTGCAGTCTAAGCACACTTTTTAAAATTCACATCCAGGGGCGCCTGGGTGACTCAGTGGGTTAAAGCCTCTGCCTTTGGCTCAGGTCATGATCCCAGAGTCCTGGGATCGAGCCCGGCATCGGGCTCTCTGCTCAGCGGGGAGCCTGCTTCTTCCTCTCCCTCTGCCTGCCTCTCTGCCTACTTGTGATCTCTATCTGTCAAATAAATAAAATAAAATAAAATAAAATAAAATAAAATAAAATAAAATTCACATCCAATCATTGCCCTCCCCAGGTTAAAACTCTTCAATGTCTTCCTGTTGCTATTTGGGAAAAGTCTAAAGTCATGAATATGGCATGTACCATCTGCCTACTGCCCACTTACCTAACCATACCTCGTATCTCTCCTCCTTCCTGTGCTCTATTCCCACCACACCAGCATTTTCTTTATTCCCTCCAATGTTTCATTCTTTCCCCAACCTTGGGTCCTTGCCCCTACTGTCTGCTCAGTCCTGGGGTTAGCTACATAAGTCCTGATCCTTTGTGTCTTAACCTCATTGGGTTCTCCTATTACTTACTCACTGTCACACTGGCCGGATCATAACATTCAGAATTCTTTATTGTTATTGTTGCCCACTCCTTACATTTTCTTAAGGTCTTATAAAATGTAATTCACCCATCATAATGAGTTACCCATTTGAGATACAGAGTTCAGTGGTTTTCAGTATAGTCACACAGCTGTGCAACCAACACCACAATATAATTTTAGAACATTTTTTGTCACCACACAAAGAAACCCATGCCCAATAGTAGTCACTTCCTATGTTAGCCCCATCCCTCTAGTCCTTGGAAGCCACTAATCGGCTTTCTGAATCCATAAATCAGCCGATTCCGGACAGGTTACGTAATTGGACTCATGCAATATTCAGTCTTTTGTAACCAGTTTCTTTCATCTGTGGTAGTATGCATCAAGACTTCATTTCTTTTTAGTGCCAAATGACATTTCATTTTGTAAATATACCATCTTTTATTCATCTGTTCATCCATTGATGGACACTCATTTAGGTTGTTTCTGCTTCCCCCCTATTGGGGATAATTCTGCAATGAATGTTTGTATACAGGCTTTTGCATGGATGTGTGTTTTCATTTCACTTGTGTGTGTACCTAAGAGTGGAATTGTTGGGTCATTTGGTAACTCTATGTTAACATTCTCAGGGACTGTTTTCCAGAGCCATTGCACCATTTTGCATTTCCACCAGCAGTGAATGAGAGTTCCGACTTGTCCACAACCTTGTCAACACTTACTATTGTCTGACATTTTTATTAGAGCCATCCTAGAGAGTGTGAAGTGATACCTCATTGTGGTTTGGTTTGCAGTTCCCTGCTCATGATGGTGAACATCTTTTCAGTCCTTACTGGCCATTTGTTTATCTTCTTTGGAGAAATGTCTATTCTGGTTCTTTGTTCATTTTTAAATTGGTTTATTTAACTTTTTTTATTTTACTTTTTTTATTTTACTTTTTATATTTTTAAATTGGTTCATTTAACTTTTTTGTTACCTACTTGTAAGAGTTCTTTATATATTTGTAAATATATATATGTGTATATATATATATATAATATTCATTGTAGTTATAAGTTCCTTTTCACCTATGTGATTTGTAAACATTTTCTTCCATTCTACAGGTTGTCTGTTAAGTTTCTTGCTTATATCATTTATAGAACACAAATTTTTAATTTTGTTGAAGCCTATTTTTTTACCTATTTTTTCTTGTGTCACTTACACTTTTAGTGTTATATACAAGAAATCATTGCCTCATCCAAGATCATGAATAATCCTCTTGTGGTTTTCTCCTAAGAGTTTTATACTTTAGCTCTTCCACTTAGGTCTTCGATCCTTTCTGAGGGAATTTTTGTATGTGGTGTGACATAGGAGTCCAGCTTCATTCTTTTGAAAGTATATATCTAGTTATCCCAGCACCACTTGTTGAAAAGGCTAATCTTTGCCCCATTTTATTGTCTTACCACCCTTTTCAAAAGATCGTTTAGCATGATGTGAGGATTTATTTCTGAATTTTCCATTCTGTTCCAGTGATCTATATGTCTGTCCTTGTTTCAGTACCACACTGTGCTGATTAATAAAGTTTTGTAGTAAGTCTTGAAATCAGAAAGTATGAGTCTTCCAGCGTGGTCTTCTTTTTCAAGACTGCTTTGGAGTGGCTCAGTGAGTTAAGCCTCTGACTTTAGCTCAGGTCATGATCTCAGGGTCCTGGGATCAAGCCCCGCATCAGGCTCTCTGCTCAGCAGGGCGCCTGCTTCCCCCTCTCTCTCTGCCTGCCTCTCTACCTACTTGTGATCTCTCTCTCTCTCTCTCTCTCTGTCAAATAAATAAATAAATAAATCTTTAAAAAAAACTGCTTTGGTAATTCTGGGTTCCCTGCATTTACACATGAATTTTAGGACAGGTTTACAAATTCTGCAGGGGAAAAAAAGGGTAGCTGGGATTTTGATAGAAATTACGTAAATCTGTAGATCCATTTGGGGAATATTGCCAACTTCACAATCTAAAGCTTTTTGATCCATGAACATGAGATTTCTCTCCATTGTTTTAGATCTTCTTTAATTTCTTTCAGCAATGTTTTATTGTTTTCAGTGTAGAAGTCCTGTACTTTCTTTGTTAAATTTATTTCTACGTTTCATATTTTTGGTGTTACTATAAATAATTTTATTTTTAGATTTTTCATTGCTAATGTATAGAAAGAAAACTGATTTTCATACATGGATCTCACATTCTGCCACCATGCTGAACTCATTCATTAGTTCTAATGGTTTTTGGGGGGTTCCTTAGGATTTTATAAGTACAAAGTCATGTCATCTGTGGAACTGCAAGTAGTTTTATTTCTTCCATTCCAATCTGGATGCCTTTTTAATTTTTCTTATCTCCTTTTCTTGGCTAGAACTTCTAGGACATGCCAACTAAAGGTGAAGGAAGCAGATACCCCTGTCTGCTTGGTGTTCCTGATCTTGGGAGAAAACGGTCTTTTACCAATAAGTATGATGTTAGCTGTGGGATTTTCATAGATATTATTTGTCAAGCTGAGGAAGTTCCCCTCTATTTGTAGTATGCTGATTCAACACACTTTTAATTACCTGCTTGATGTCTATATTCCCTGCTGGACTGTAAGTGTAGGTATGTCTTTGGTTACTATCTCCTTAGCATGTAGCAAAAAGCCTGGCATAGAGGAACCACTCAATAACAGTTTTCCAAATGACTGAGAGAAATTGCCCTTCCCGGTTTGTGTCTTCCTTTGTTTGTTCTTGTCCTAATTTTTATAAATGTTGTCTTCAACCTGGTTCTTCCTGCTATCGACTATGTATGCAGTTTCTTGCCCATCAGGATTACTGGAAAGCAGATAATTAACATTATCTTGTTAAAATCTCTAGTACATCATGACCTATTTTTTTTTTTTTATAAAAGGCTTATTGTTTGACCTGTTGATCCTCTCACCCTTCTGAAATCTGCTTTCTTGAGTCCAGGGCACACTTCTTTTTCCCTTTTTCTTTTTCCTACGATTTTATTTATTTATTTGAGAGAGGGAGAATAAGAAAGCGAGAGAAAGAGAGCAAGCAGGGGTGGGAGGTGGAGGGAGAGGGAGAAGCAGACTTGTGGCTGAGCAGGGGAGCCCAATGCAGAGCTTGATCCCAGGACCCTGCGATCATGACCTGAGCTGAAGGCAGATGGTTGACCAACTGAGCCACCCAGGCATCCCCCAGGGCACATTTCAATGCCACCCAACATTCCCTTATTTTGCTACTACAAAGTCAAAGCTACATTCTTCCAGGATTTCCATCACTCCCACATTAGCAAAGAGATTCTCACTATTGGCCAATATCCAACCCAGAGGAAAATTCCCTCTCCTTATTCATCTGGCCCTCTGGGCAATGAAGCTGTCACTGGAACAAGTGAAGGCCTTGTCAGATGAGCTAAGTGAGCTTCTCCCCAGAGTTTGGGGTTGCTAAAGCCCCCTCATCAGTCGGCGTGGATCCACCAGGCAAGTTGGCATGTACTCCCATTGGGAGAACACTTCTGTTCCTCTCTCTCTCATCTTCAACCCATCTGTTCTGCTCTCACTTAGTGAAGTAGGATATAGAAGTATGCAACCAGAGAACTCCTCTTCCTCCCCTCCCATTGTACCTATTCATTTTGAAGGAAGCATGCACCCCCATTGTCATATTGCTGGCCATGTTTATATTAAAATTGTTTTAAATATCAAGTTCATACTTCAAAAAAATGCTAATGCTCAATGAATTGGTATATTGTGCTTGGAGGATTAAGGCTACGTTGATCTTAATTGATTTCAAGTCTAGAAGGCTTTTTCCTTTTTTTTTTTTTTAAAGATTTTATTTATTTATTTATTTGACAGACAGAGATCACAAGTAGGCAGAGAGGCAGGCAGAGAGAGAGGAGGACGCAGGCTCCCCACTGAGCAGAGAGCCCAACGCAGGGCTCGATCCCAGGACCCTGGGATCATGACCTAAGCCAAAAGCAGAGGCTTAACCCACTGAGCCACCCAGGTGCCCCAAGTCTAGAGGTTTAATGTACTGTAAGTCACACTCTGCTGAGAGTTTTTCTAGCTAATGTCATCTACATTCACGTTGATCTACTGTCAATGTGGTAAGAAAGTGCCTTACTCTAACAAAGTTATTATTTATAGCAATTTGCCCCTAATATGGACGTGAACTATCTTGAGGAATGGGTCACATTCTCCCACTCTGCATGAAGGTGACGTATGAGTAGCAGTGGTCCTGATCTTTCTGATCTACCGATAACAGTTTTCTCCTATCCAAGTAAATTATCTCTCCCATCCTGCAGACCAGAGACATCCTTTTTGAGAGTTAGGATCCTGGGTTTGCCTCTAGAAAGGTAAAACTCCCTACCTGCTTTGGCCAACATACACGTGGTGATTACTGTAGAACCCAGGGTGTCTAGCCTTCCAGATCTGGCTTTGGAAGAGAACGGTATCCAGCTAGAAAAAATGACTTGAATATTCCAAGGGCATAAACCAAGAAGGAGGAAGAGTTGATATCCAGGAAACAAGATCCAGCACTGGACCCTTCACTAGCTAGGGAAGTCCCATAAAAAGAGAAAGGAAGACCAACGGGAGCAGGAAGAGAGGTCTTTGGGGAAAATGGAACCAGTAGTTTATCTGATTGCTTCATCATGGGTAAAATGTGCTCAGACGGATTTTTAAAATTTTGCTGGAGAGTTTTGGAAGAATTATTAGGATAATGACATAGACTAAGCAGATTTTTTGTAAGATTTTATTTATTTATTTGACAGAGAGAGAGAGATCACAAGTAGGCAGAGAGGCAGGCAGAGAGAGAGAGGAGGAAGCAGACTCCCTGCTGAGCAGAGAGCCCAATGCAGGGCCCAATCCCAGGACCTTGAGATCATGACCTGAGCCAAAGTCAGAGCCTTAACCCACTGAGCCACCATGCCCCATAAGCAGATTTTTAAAATGAGATAATTATTAACTCCTGGAAGAACAAAGACTTATAGAAGAAAAAAGGAGAAGTGATCCTAGAGTATTTTTTCACTCAGCAGTGAAGAGTACATATGTAATTGTAATAAAATAAGAATTGAATATTGATTTAACCAGAAGATATGACATAAATATATTGGAGAAAGGAGGGAAGAAGTGTAGGTATGGAATGGGTTAGGAGCACACAAGCCCAACCTTCCAGTATAAGTAGTCAGGCATTTGACATTGACAAGTCCGGGGAGAAACCTGCAGGCCTATCCTTGGAAATATGGAGGTACGCATCAAAGAAAAGAGTCTGGAGAGCAGAATTTAGGGTACAAATGGGACAGGTGACTGCTGTTTTTTCTTCCTGTCTTGTTATACTACTGGAGTTTTAAAATTATATATAGGAGGCTGGACTTTTATGAAAATAAATAAGCAAAACTAGTAAATAGACTGAGATAGGCATTTAAGACCCAAGAAAAGAAAAGGGGATAGAGAAGAAGAATCAAGTCTTCCTCACGTGGCCGGGAAAGTTAGGTGATTATAGTTATAGAAAAAATGTCCATACAAGAACATTGCTTTAGTCCAAGAGATGTACACTTGAGAAAAGCCATTCTTCGATAAGAATCCACAGCCAGCAGACCAGCCCTCTGCTGGAACAGAGACTAGAGCTGTTGTCATTCCAGCTTCTCCTGGTCTCAGTCCTTCCAGCCTGCTCAGGGGGTCAGAAGAAGATCTCCTAAACTTACCCACCACTCTGCCACGGGCACTCAGGTGCTCAGGGGGCTGCCGTCTTGAACTAAGGGCCGAGTAAGTACATAGATGCCTCCAAGGAATTTTGAAGAAGGCGGTGGAGATATTCCTGTCCACTGGGTGGCCTTGGGTATGTTGGAATGGGTCCACCTTCACCAGCACGAGGTCCCTGTGCTCCGTCTGTTATCTGCTGGTCCCAGACAGCATCTATTGGAATAGGTCCAGGCCTCTGTGGTCACTCCAAGAAGGGAAAATCTTCTTTATTCTCCCCTGGCCTTCTGCATTTAAACATCTGTGCCTTTCTCTAGGACCAGCTCCCAGTGATCACTCAAGAATCTGGCTCTCCTTGCAACAGGTGGTGAACTCCCATGCGTGTGATACATTGAAACCTGCCCTGCCTGAAACGTAGTCAAGGCTGTCTTCGAGGAACCTGGGCCTGGTCCTCAGCCGAGTCAGGCTGTAGTCAGCCTGCAGTCTCAGAGCGGGTCCTCTGACCACTTCAGGACACCAGCCTGGGATGCTCTGGAAGATGAAGCAGGAGATGTTCGACGGTGGGAAAGAAGGGGAGAAGCTTCCTCATGACCCCCTCCCTCAAGTCCAATTCATTTCTAGGAAAAGCCAGAATGAGGCCATCTGCCCACTCACAGGGTGCTGGGGGTGATTGGTGAGCCGTCTGCTGGATGTCGCCAAATAATCCTACTTCTCCCTGTCTGTATCCTGATTGTTTCACAGCGAAATGGCAAAATAAAACACAGTTCCCGTAAAGGTCTTGGACTCTTTGACAAGTAGGATCATAATTCTGAATTAAAAAAAAAAAAAAAAAAGTTTGGGGAAGGAGAAATCCAGCCAGCAAGGCAGGTATCTCCCTCCCTCTTTATCCATAAAGGTCTCTCCAGAAGAGCATGGCCCCCTCCAGCGTAGAAGAGTTCCCAATGAGTGACCAAGCCAGACCCCACTCAGGAGACTCTGTGGTTTGAGAACGCATTCTGGAACCATTCCCCAGTGGGGGGATCCTTACAAATATACGTGTGTCAGGGGGACAGGAGGGCGGAGACTTTCTGAGAAGACCCCATCAGAAGGTGGACAGGATTGGGCAGGGGTACGCCATTGCAGACTCCCGCGCTCAGGGTCGAGGTCAGCATTTGGAAAGTGGACACATCCTGGCACAAAGAATAAAGGCAGCCCATAACCTGTGTCCCAGGGGACCGCTGCAAAGGGTTTATGATCAGTGACTCCAGCAGCAACAGACACATGGCAAAGCTTGGGCCAGGTCATTTGGCCTCCGGGCCCTCTGCTTAGTGACCCAGGATGGCCAGCCACGGTGCTCAGCATGGACTTAGGAAGCAGACAGAGCTAATGCCTGAGGACTCGAGTCCTGGGCAGGCAGCCTGGTCCCTCACGTAAGATTTTCTGCATGCAAAACCCTGATGCCAACAGATAAACACAGACTCCGTTAAAAAAAGGGGGGGTGGGGGGAACTGGTGCCCAAAGGAACGAATGAGCCCCCTCTGGCAGGACTTCACTGGGACGTCCAGGTGGAAAACCCAACAGACCTGCATGCTTTCCTGCCCCAACTGTGAGTCACCCTGGACTTCTTATGGAAGGAAATTGCAGATGGAGGCTTGGCGGCCAGCAGCCCAGGGGCGGCCATGCCCCCTCAGCACCAGGCACCACCAGAGCGGTGTCCCCGGGATGCAGAGCCGTTTCCTCCCTCACGGGGTTTGGCTCAAGAACCAGTCTTTAGTTTTCTCTTTAAACTAACAGGATAGAAGGGGAGAATTTACTCAATTGATTAATTGGAAAGCTGACTCTCGTGGCCACACCAGGGCTGGAGGGCTTGCAATGGCCCTGGGGGTCTGCATGGAGCTGTGAGGGGAGGGAGCTTTGTCCCCATCTCCCCAGTAGAGGGGAAGGGTCTGCAACTTTAATCCTGGCACAGAGCTGACCAGTTAGCTTGTCCCCAGGCTGCACCTTCTCAGGGCTTCCCACATCCTTCAGCCAAGGTCAAGAAAGACCCCCCCCCCCAAAAGAGGGCTGAAGACATTCTGGAAATGTGGCAGTGGGCACAGAGCTCAGGTGGTACGAGACGGAGGGACAGGGAGGGGCGGGAGCCATCACGGAGCCAGTGGGGTGGACTCCAACTCCCAGGGCCTGCACAGCTGCAGCCACTCCTCGGGGGACACAGGGTGGCCAGGCTGTCCTCGCCATTCCATAACTGAGACCCTCGAAGCCCCAAGAAGAAGTAGCTGCCCCATTACAGGTGGCAGATGCTAGATTTGAACCCTCGTCCCTGCACTCCGTGGCTGTGGGGCCTGGGCTGCGGGAGAGCACAGGCCTGCTCCTTGGCACTGGGGCTCAGCCCGGTGAGGGGGAAGCTCTGACACGGGGTGCATGAACACGTGCGTGCACGCACACACACACACACACACGCGTGGGGGCGATGTCAGCCTTGCTTTCATCTAGAGCAGAACGGGCCCTTTGCCAACTTGTTTCTTGCTACCTCCAGGCCCCAGGGGGACAGAGGCAGGATTTACGGTGGGAACTCACAGGGGACTCGTCAGGCCCATGCTCTCCCTCCTCGCCAGCCTGCTCCTTCCCCTTTGCTCCCTCAAGGGCCCTGAGCTCCTCCGATAGAATCCTTGGAGAAGTTCACATAGAGGCAGCTCAATTCAGTGGGGAGTTCTTGACCTTGAATGGTCAACTCACCTATGTTCGATATTAAGAACGGAGATAATAGGGACGCCTGGGTGACTCAGTGGGTTAAGCATCTGCCTTCAGCTCGAGTCATGATCCCAGCATCCTGGGATCGAACCCGGCATCCGGTGAGCAGGGGGCCTGTTTCTCCCTTTCCCTCTCTCTCGGTTTCTCATGAATAAATAAAATCTTAAAAAAAAAAAAAGAATGGAGATAATATAACTTCACTAGAACTAAGCATTTTAAACTTTCCATTCCATAGAACAGCCAGTTGGGCAGAGGAGAGGGAATAAGAAAGGGGGCGGAGCCTGGAATACGGAGGTGACACGGGAAGAACAGAGCGTAACAGGTGGCGTCAGGCAGGAAAACAGGAACCACTCTGCTCCTGTTTTAACAGGATTTAACACAGGGACCAAGAGGAGCAAAGGCCAGAGAAGGTGGCCAGTGACTGCCAGGTTTATCACGAACTTTCAGGGCACCACGAGGGGCTCCTGCCCCTCCCCTAGCTAAATACTGCAGGGAACCGCAGCCCTACGGTGCTCACAATTCCTGAAGCCTGCGTACCTGCCTGCCCTGCCGGACACAGAGAAATAAGGCAGGGCAGGCAGGAATAAGGAATAAGGCCCCTCCTCTGCCTTCCCAATGTCACATAAGTGCATCTCACTTGGGGGACTGAAAGTGTCTTGGGAACTCTCAGGCTTCCAGCCCCTTCCAGACAGGAGAGGATACAGAAGTGGGTGTAAGGAGGGCCAGGTGCCAACAGAAGAGAGAAACGGAAGGAGAAAAGAAAGACAAGCAGATGGATATGGAGAGCCCGGAGAAGGAAGATGCCGGGAGTGGGGCTGACGGGGCTTGGCCGGGAGCAACAGAGACAGAGGGATAAGATGGGAGATGCAGAGGACGAGACCTAATTCAGGAGATCAGCAGAAGGATGACCACTGGGGCTCATGGGTGTGGACTGGTATGTTGGCGATGGAGCCCAATCGTTGGAAGCCCACTGCCGGTGGAAGGGACTTGCCCCACACGGATCAAGGTTAGGCCTGTAAACTCTCAAACTTTAGTGTGCATAAAAAATCACCTGGAGTAACTTTTTTTAAAAAGATTATTTAAAAATATATATTTTATTTATTTATTTGACAGAGGGAGAGAGAGCACAAGCAAGGGGAGTAGCAGGCAGAGGAAGAGGACACGGGGCTCCATCCCAGGACCCTGAGATCGTGACCTGAGTAGAAGGCAGATGCTTAACTGAGTGAGTCACCCAGGTGTCCCAAAAAGATTTATCGGAGAGAGAGGGAGAAAGAGAGTGCAAACAAGGGTAGGGGCAGAGGGAGAGGGAGGATCTCAAGCAGACTCTACCCTGAGCACAGAGCCCGATGCAGGGCTTGATCCCACGACCCCAAGATCACAACAGAAGCCGGACACTTAACTGACTGTGCCACCCAGACGCCTCACCTGGAATGACTTTTTTTTTTTTTTTTAAAGCGTCAGAGATTCTGATCCAGGAAGTCTGGGGCTAGGCCTGGGAATCTGCTTTTATTGAAAGCTCCCCGAACGATGCCTGTAGTCCTTGGGAAACATCTCAGATATCACCGCTTTTGTGACTCTATGGAATGGTGCGTGCTCTTGGCCCCAGCCACCGTGGTAGCCCTAAGACGCCTCATGAATCCCAGCTTCAAAGCCCCACCTACATACCCACCCCCGCCACACTCTGCACCCCGGGCACCTCCTGGAGTCCTTCCTGCCCGCTCCCGGCTGCCTCCTCCCATTCCTCCCCACTCCCAGAGAACTGATGTCCCGGGTTATTTTTACCTCCAAACAAGCTAATTAAGCAATAATCCTAGAAGAATCCATCACTCTGACAAGGCTGTTGATTAACCATCCCCCAGCCAAGCCAGAAGTGCTTCATTTCCCAGCGGGACGGGCCATAACGGCACAGCAGCCCTGGGCGGCAGCCGAGCAGCCAAGGGATGTATCTGAGAAGACAGAGGCAGGTGGGTCCTTGGGCCGGACTTTGCAGCCTAGAGAAGCTCACAGGAGAGGCAGGGGGACTGGCCTGACGCCCCACAGGCTGGGACATCTCAAACAAGGTTCCACGCCATCCTTTCAAAAGCCCCCAGAGAGTGCCTCAGGTTGTGAACAATTCTGGACCACAGGAGAAGAGCCGGTGGGAAGGGGGCTGGACCCCGAGACGTAATTCTCCAGCTTTAGATCTGTGTCAAGTACAGAGCTGCTGCTGAGAGCAGAGACAAGCAGAACGATGAAATCACTGCCTTCGAGAGATCATTTCATGCCCAGACGATATATCTTTCTCTTTTCCACACTTAGACTTTTACTGTAAACACCCCTCCCTGTTCCCCTAAAAGACTTACTTTCTGCGGTACTGGGAAAAGAGGCTCTGACCGCCCAGGAGGTGATGAAACACTACCCCCTGGCGGTCACAGTGGTGCTGCAGCGCGGAAGCATCCACCTTCCGAAGGCTCTTTCTTTCCCACCAGCCCGCCCGGCTGGAGCAGGCCTCACCTGAGTGAGCTGCCACCTGTGTGGCATTGTCCCGTCATCCGTCCGGCTCCCTCGTTGTCTGAATCCCGGTCTCCTTTAGGCCTGTTTTGCATCAGGAGTAGATGATGTTGGCAGCAGTCTGGACCAAGGGGAAGGAAACAGAACCCCTGCTGGGACACCCTGCTTTTGTCACTGACATGTCGGGTCATCTTACCTCTTTAAGGGTATCCAATTCTGTTCAGCCACAAGAAGGGGGAAAGAAAGAAAGAGAGAGAGAGAGAGAGAAAGAAAGAAAGAAAAGGAAGGAGGGAAAGAGGAAGGAAGGATGGATGGAAGAAAGACAAAACAGCGTCTAGTAAGTGCTCAGCAAATGCTAAAGACAGTGAGCCTATGTAGAGACAGGGAGCATGGTGGAGGGGACAGAGCC